GCGCATGCGCAACAAAATACCCCTCTGCTCGATCTTTGATAACTGATATGCTTTGTAACCTCTCCGCTAACATTTAAATTTTGTAGACAAGGTACAAATATTCGTTGCTTTGTTATGCATCTAAGAATAACTAATTCAGAACTATTCTTTTCCTGCTTATTGAGAATCAGAATGTGTTGGACTGAAATCCGATGCAATAGATCTAACAAACTTGGAAATTGCGGAAGATTTAATGATTCGAGGTTGTTCCATTTAAACTTTTTTAAAAAATTCCAGTTTCATGATCATTGATTTATTTAATGCTTTGGTCTCACACGAACTAAATTTATTCATCCTTGCATGACAAGGAAGGTTTTATTTCAGTTTCTAACGTTTGGTTTCCTAAGTCACGCGTTTGTTTGTTTTTCTTTCTCCATATGTAAGCGGGTAATAAACTAATTTCATAGCCTTCTTTTCGCTCTTCCATGAAAAATGAAACAGTTTGCACGGAAAATTGCAATAATTTTGTGGTTGAAGATTTAAAAATCCAAACAATCTGACAAACTGGTGGAGATTTGCTTTTAAGAAATTTGACTTCGGCTTCCAGATGTCTGTGAAATAAATACGTCTACCCCACCTCGGCGCCTTGACATGAAACACCCTAGAGTAATTCTCCTTTCAAGCTACTTTAAATTTTCTTATACATTAGTCTGGAGAATTTGGTTTTTGATCAAAATAACAACCTAAAGCTGATAAGTATGTTTACTCTCTCCATCTTTTGCTTGATAATATATTGGAATTTCAAGAAAAATTTACAAGTCATTTCATACCATGAGGAAGAGGGTTTGATCGACCACACAGCAAGTTGATGAGTGACCAATTTTTCGATTTTATTCTATGTATCTCATGAATAAGGTGCTCACGATGTTATTCGATAAAAGGTTTGGTCACAAGACTAGCTATTACTTCTAAACTTGATGAAAACGAGAAAGAAAATAAGTAAAAGAACGGACTGATCCTAATACACGACGGAAAGCTTATCAAGAGCAAATTCGAAGTGACACGAAGAAAAAAAATATTTCCATTGTAATATTCTTTTGTTTTGTTCGTTGGTAAAACACGATTTCGAGTGTCATTTGGTGTTGATAAGCACGAGTTAATTTTTCAAAGACAATAAAATTGCACCACAGGTGTGAGATGATCATCTTGCGCAATAACGGTCATGGCGGAATTATAAGAGTTTGTATGGGAATATTTACGACATACAAACTCTTATAATTCCGCCATGACCGTTATTGCGCAAGATGATCATCTCACAGCTGGAGCTTGGGCCGCCTGTGACTGCACTAGCCCGTAATTTATATGAAAAAACCATCAGAGAAAGTCAAGAGGGACAAATAATGACAGCGTGCGCTATTTGTAACTTGCAGTCGTGTTACAACTTTGTACTAGCGTAACATGAAAAATGCACTCGTTTTCAGCCACCTAAAACTGTGTAATTTTTATCATGTATCTTATCATTCTCGTAATCATGTGCATGTTGGTACTAACACTCTGTTCATTAATCCTTTTGTTCAAGGCTTTTTTGAATATCTTCTTTTCAAAAGATGAAATGAGACATTTATTTTTTTATCGTTGTTTTGTTGAGAGATATTTATTTCATTATAAGTTGATTTTGGTTTTCATCTGTCATATGATCATAAAATTAGACTCAGTATGTTTTCTGTTTCTGTTCGTCCTGTATAGCTCACAGTGCTCTTGATCATTTTTATGAACACTGGTTAAAATTCATGGCATTGTTTTACGAAAAAAGTATTTGCAGTAAACATGGAGTGTACCTAAAGCAATGTGAAAAAATTTGACCCTGATAAATCGCTATATGCACTTATAAGAATTTTAATTCTAGTTAATTTTTTTACTTCTAATTAAAACTGGAAAATTTTGCCTCCTCCGGAAACAAATCAAAACATAAAAGAAGGTCGGTGTTTTGGCTCGAATACAATATTTACTGTCTACCCAGAGTAAAAGCTTGAAATTGTAACTGGGGACCTAAAGCAAACCACGGAAGCAACGGCAACGAGGAGGTGGCCAAACAAACGATTTAATGAGCAGGACAATAGCTCAGCACGAGCGTTTTGAAATGTTGTACATTTCTTAGCCATCTTCCGCAAAACAACAGCGTGACATCATTAAAATTTCCACTGATTTGGAACTCAACCGGCTGGACGTTCACACACATTACGCTGAACGAGTCAACGCATGCAGCCATTTGCGAAATTGTAACCAAAAATATAATTTCTTTTTTTTAATCAACGTCTTTTTCGACTTTGCCGTCCTAATAGTTCATGAATTATTATTCAACGCCAAGTTTCAAATTCATTTGATCTATCTGTAACAACCGTCAATTCAGCGTCAATTCCATGTTTCCTACGCTCAGCACACTGTTCGAATACAATACCGCATGAGAAATCCTTACAAACAAGCAACTGTCCCTGTCCCTAGCTTTAAAAATTGCTACAATATCGTCTAGAGCCTTAGTGGCAATGGTTCTCGACCAATGAGCGCGCGAGAATTTCTACAGTTGTTATCAAAAATGTTTTTGACGGGTGTTCGCTTCGGATGAACAAATCGAGAAGAATTGTGCGCCCAACAAACGGGTACGCAGTAAAGGGAACACAAATTTCTAAGAGAACTAATTACTGGGATGCCTGTGGTAGCCCAGTCATAAAACGCCTTTGTTTTTTTGTCGTCTTTTTTTTTCCTCCGCTACAAAATGGAAAAATTGCGTAATATTACCCAGTGGTCATTGGGCCCTCAACACCATGGCAACTAACTGTGATCCAATGAAGGTGAAGGTGTTCACATGCTGATCACGTGTGTTATCTTGATGGCGACTGACGTTGTCATGCATGGACAGGGCCGGGTCACATGACGAACCATGAAATTTTTGCTTATAAAACTCATTTGTCAGTCAATTTGTTTTTGTTCTGGGGTTATTGTTTTGGTAATGGAGGTTCAACGATTTGGGTTACGATTACCTGGAGCTTTATGGTGCAAACGCTCAAAATACTTACAGACGCACACACAAGTAATATTGTTCACTACTTGGAACGGATTGAGCCCCATCCTCAAGGAATTTGTATGCTGTTAGAAGTTAACATCTTAAATGAGCTGATAAACTATTCTGAAGGTCTTCATCAAAATCCAAATGTTTTATTTGAACCCAAAGGTGTACATATTAATGAAAAACAATGTGATATGACAGATATTTCTTATCAACAGTTGTCAGCTGTCCCCCTCGAAGCAAATCATGCAGATGCTGAAATTACAACCATTAATATTCCCTTGTTATGCTGTGGTGCCACATCTTTTTATAGCATTTTTTTTTCCATTATCATATATTGTGGGTATTGGGAATTCACATACTCTATAGATAGAATCACTAACCATGCAAACAGGTTTTACAGAGAAAAACTCAATGGCGATAAAAATCCACACACAATCAGCAATTTCCCAAGGACACTTAAATATATGATTCAGATATTAATATTGCCTTTAATTTGGAGAAACAAGGAATACAATGATCTACATCTCTTGGTAGCAAATTATTGCTTCAGAATTTAATCACAGATAATACTAAGGACAATACTGGGTTTTTAATGTGGATTTCAAATTATTGCCTCAGCTGTATTTTTCAGCACAGTAATATGAAAACAAAAGCAAAAAGTGTTAAGAACTCTATTATAAGATTCAGTCCTGATAGCACACAGGCGACCCAAGCTCCAGCTGTGAGATGATCATCTTGCGCAATAACAGTCATGGCGGAATTATAAGAGTTTGTATGGAAATATTTACGACCGCTCTAAGGAATGAAAAAATAGATCAAATTCTCAAAAAAAAAAACCTCACCTTACCTCCACAGCGTATTGCTTGTTATCTGACCGCTTACTTTGATGAAAAGAACGCATTTTAGCGAGTTGTTCATTTTGAGGTTTTCAACGTACATAAGAAAAGCCCAAGGCTGAACACTCCATTTCCAAACGCTCGATCTGAGAAGCGAAAAATTCCAGCACAAAATGACCGGGCGGCCACAAATCCAACGCAGAATCCAAGCACATATACTGCAGTTTCATTTCAATTCACTACAAACTCAATCTTCCTCGTGCAACCGACGCTAAGCCGCAGTTTGCTTCAAAAATTTCCAGTTTAGAGGTTTCTCACAGCCCGCGTCCACATCAACCTTGACACACGATCGTTGACAACCAGCTAGGTAACCTTGCCTCCTTTTTAAACTGAGCCTCGCCGGGGACCCCACTGTAACTTAGCATGAAGAAATTGTCTTAGCACTACGGGTGCCAAGTTACAGTGGGATCCCCGGCGAGGCTCAGTTTAAAAAAGGAGGCAAGGTTACCTACATTTGGATTTTGAGAATTTGGCGTATTTTTTATTCCTTAGAGCGGTCGTAAATATTCCCATACAAACTCTTATAATTCCGCCATAACCGTTATTGCGCAAGATGATCATCTCACAGCTGGAGCTTGGGCCGCCTGTGGATAGCACAGCTTTTCAAAGTAAGATTAGGGATGGTCCATATTATATTTGCTCTGTTTGTAACAGAATACTATACAGAAAAACTGTTATCCAGTTAAAAAAACAAATGTACAACACTTAGCAAGAACTATTTACTGAGTTGTATACCCATGATTCCTCTCCGTCTTGGAATGAACTATCGCCGATGACAACCTTTTTCGAAATAGATGTATGCCCTTGGGTAGACTTGAGCTCGCTATTTCAGTATACTAGTCCAACACCCGTAGTATCACTACAATTGATCCCAAGGATCCATTACCATCCAGGTATCCCAGTTACCCTGCTCACAGGGTCTAGTTTCAAAAAGAATAGGAATGCGAAGACTGTTATCTGAAATCCTACTCAGATTCTTTGTAAATATTTTCCTTTTTTATACTTGTTTTGCTTCTTTTTGTTCCTATTTAACGGCAGACCTAAAATGTGCAGCTGTGATGAATAACACACAAGGCATCCTCAAAACCATCTGGATAGGTTTGAATGTTGCTAAATATCTTCTCAAGACTGGTCGTGGGCTACAAGCGACTGAGTTATACGATGAAATTTTAATATTACTCCACAATCTGGACGTCACTAATCACCTTAATATCACTGAGGTGATATTCAATGCATACTACCCCATCTCTGGTTACGCAAATGCCGCAAGATACACCAACAAAATTCTTGAAATGTTCCACGAAGCTGGAATACTAACCATACGACTAGCTGACAAATATCTTAAAGAAGGTAAGCTTGCACTGGTTAAAAGAATTTTGGAAAGTGCAGTGAATATCACTAAAACAAATGGCCCATCAAAAGCAGAAAGGGTGGCCTATAGTTACCTTGGATATACTTTGATATTACTCGGTGAGTATCAGAGAGCTAGAGAATATCTCGTGAGAGCCCTTGCCATAGCTATAGAAATTGGCGACAAAGGCGGAGAAGGTGCATCGTACGAAAGCCTTGGAAATGTGTTTATATTACTTGGAGAATTCCAGAAGGCTAAAGAATATTATGAGAAAGCCCTTGCCATCGCTATAGAAATTGGCGACAAACAAGTACAAAGTGCATTGTACAATAACCTTGGAAATGTTTTTCAATTGCATGGAGAATACCAGAAGGCTAAAGAATATTATGAGAAAGCCCTTGCCATCGCTATAGAAATTGGCGACAAACAAGTACAAAGTAAATCGTACAGTCACCTCGGAAGTGTTTTTGAATCGCTTGGAGAATACCAGAAGGCTAAAGAATATTATGAGAAAGCCCTTGCCATCGCTATAGAAATTGGCGACAAAAAAGTACAAAGTGCAGCATACAATAACTTTGCAAATGTTTTTCAATTGCGTGGAGAATACCAGAAGGCTAAAGAATATTATGAGAAAGCCCTTGCCATCGCTATAGAAATTGGCGACAAAAAAGTACAAAGTTCATCGTACGGTAACCTTGGAAATGCTTTTAAATTGCGTGGAGAATACCAGAAGGCTAAAGAATATTATGAGAAAGCCCTTGCCATCGCTATAGAAATTGGCGACAAACAAGTACAAAGTAAATCGTACAGTCACCTCGGAAGAGTTTTTGAATCGCTTGGAGAATACCAGAAGGCTAAAGAATATTATGAGAAAGCCCTTGCCATCGCTATAGAAATTGGCGACAAAAAAGTACAAAGTGCAGCGTACAATAACCTTGGAAATGTTTTTCAATTGCGTGGAGAATACCAGAAGGCTAAAGAATATTATGAGAAAGCCCTTGCCATCGCTATAGAAATTGGCGACAAAAAAGTACAAAGTACATTGTACTGTAACCATGGAGATGTTTATAAATTTTGTGGAGAATACCAGAAGGCTAAAGAATATTATGAGAAAGCCCTTGCCATCGCTATAGAAATTGGCGACAAACAAGTACAAAGTAAATCGTACAGTAACCTTGGAAGTGTTTTTGAATCGCTTGGAGAATACCAGAAGGCTAAAGAATATTATGAGAAAGCCCTTGCCATCGCTATAGAAAGTGGCGACAAACAAGTACAAAGTTCATCGTACGGTAACCTTGGAAATGTTTTTCAATTGCGTGGAGAATACCAGAAGGCTAAAGAATATTATGAGAAAGCCCTTGCCATCGCTATAGAAATTGGCGACAAACAAGTACAAAGTTCATCGTACAGTCACCTTGGAAGGGTTTTTGAATCGCTTGGAGAATACCAGAAGGCAAAAGAATATTATGAGAAAGCCCTTGCCATCGCTATAGAAATTGGCGACAAAAAAGTACAAAGTTCATCGTACGGTAACCTTGGAAATGTGTTTCAATCACTTAGAGAAGACCAGAAGGCAGAAGATTATCGTAAGAAAGCCCTTGCCATCGCTATAGTAACTGGCGACAGGATATTTGAAGGCGAATTGTACAGGAGCTTTGGAGGAAATCTCTTGTCACTTAGAAAAACTGTTCAGGCTAAAGTTTATTACGACAAGGCACTCACCATAGCAACAGAAATTGGTGACAGACCATCAGAAATGGAATGTTACGAATGCTTAGCATTTGTGTTGGTTAGCATTCAGGACTATCAGACGGCTAAAGAATATCAAAAGAAAGCGCTTGCCATTAGCATAGAAATTGGCCATATAGTAGACGAATTAGAAATCCTTAGTAACCTTGCACAGACATATCGATCTGTTGGTGAATATGTTGTTGCCGAAGAACTCAGCCAGGAAGCATTGTTTATATCCAGGGAAATTGGAGCTGAAATGTCAGGGTATAGAATTCTTCTCGGAATCACGTTCTTAAAATCTTCGCAATTAAAGCATGAGGATGAAAAGACCTTTCTCCTCGAAAGCATTCAAAGATACGAACAACTGCGAAATTCTCTTGGAGGAAACAAAGAATTTGAAATATCCTTGTTAGAGAAGTATGGTTCTTTTCCCTACAAGCGGCTCAGTGACCTGCTTTGTGATCACGATAGTCCTCGCGACGCTCTTTATGTCGAGGAACTGGGACGAGCTAGAGGCCTTGCAGAATCATTGGCAAGCAAGTTTTCCGCGGTAAACCACATCTCAGCTGATCCAAAATCATGGTTTGGGATTGAAAACATCGTAAGTAAAGAAAGAGGCTGTGTTTTCTTATACATGTCGTATTTTAAGACGCACACTCATCTCTGGGTTTTAAAAGGAGAAGATATTAACCATCGCATTAGCTCAATCGTGAAAGACAGCAGTCTCATCGCTGAGTCACCCTTAAACGTGGAAAAAATTTTCAAAAAAAGTGCCGAAATGTTCGGCGTCAAATCTAACGAGAATTGCGAAGGTCGTTCTTTACAAGGTTGTGGAACCAAAGATGACGAGTCACTTCTCCATTTGTGTTACAAACTGATTTTTGCCCCAGTGGGCGATTTACTCACCGAGCCTGAAATCATCATTGTGCCAGAGAAGTGTTCTTACCGAGTCCCATTTGCTGCTTTGCGTGCCGACTCAGCCGGGAAGTATCTGTCAGAGGCGTACAGAATCCGCATCGTCCCCTCTTTGACGACTCTTGGCGTTATTCAGAAATGTCCAGCAGACTATCACAGTCAGTCTGGCGCACTGGTAGTGGGTGATCCTGATGTTGGCAAAGTTTGTTACAAAGGGCGTCTCCAAACCTTTACAGCATTGGCTTCTGCGAGACAAGAAGCAAAGATGGTGGGTCAACTACTTGGTGTTCACCCTTTGTTAGGAGAGTGTGCAACAAAGCAGGCAGTGCTTCGAGCCATACATCCGGTGAGTTTGATCCATATTGCTGCTCATGGAGATGCCGATAGAGGAGAGGTTATCCTTTCCCCTCAGGGTGCTGCTAACAAGTTTCCACAAGAGGAAGATTACATTTTGACAGTCTCTGATATTTCTAAAGTTCAGCTGCGAGCTAAATTGGTAGTTCTTAGCTGCTGTCACAGTGGGCGTGGTGTGTTTAAACAAGAGGGTGTCATTGGAATCGCTCGGGCGTTCCTAGCAGCTGGTGCACGTTCAGTGTTGGCAGCATCGTGGGCCATTGAAGATGAAGCGTCAAAGCAGCTCATGGATCATTTCTATGAGCACCTTGCGAATGGAGAAAGTGCTAGCGAATCTCTCCACCAGGCCACCAAATGGTTGAGAAGAAACGGCTTCACCAAAATTTCCCAATGGGCTCCATTTGTGCTGATTGGAGGTAACGTGACATTTGACTTTGCGAAAATGAGGTAAGCTATATGCTGGCCTGCTAAATGGTCTCGACAATCTGAGAAAAAAATAAATATCAGTAAGCTAAGATGATTTAGTTTTACATGCCAGAAAAATATCAACCAAGCGACTTCAGGTTCAGACATGGTATGACCCCTTAGCTCCCATAATTCTCTTTACTGTCTGACATACAATTCTTATGATGTCAGTTTGGAGAGTTTGGTATTGGATCAACTAATAACCCCCTAATTAATATTTTAATTTATTCTCATCACATCTATGCTTGTTATTGTATTGATATTGTGAGGAGAAATTCTCTCTCGGTCACTCATGGGAGGTAAAGGGTTAAATTTGGTAAACCCTATCCCAAAGGAATTTTTACTCGTGTGCATTGAGTTTTAAATTCTACCTCAAATTCTTAATGTTTTTCTTTATCTGAAAATTCTAATTTAGGAAAGCAGAGCAGAGGAAGGACGACGACGATTGAAAGACTAGAAATGGATCCTTTGCGAAGATTCTACTTCTGGTGCATTGCCTTAAACAGGACATGTGATACTGTCAACAAAAGAATTGGACTGGAAAGGAGAAACTAAACCAAACCTTTTGAAATGTATGTCAAGATTCTGATTCTAAATCAATTAGAAAAATTGTTAAATGTCATATTTTACAAATTTTTTTACACGAAAACGCTTTTGAATGACAATGGTTTTGATTGAACTGATTTGTCAGAGGACTCCATTTTGGTAATCAGTAAACGAAACATTTAAACAAAACAAAGTAAAACAATAAAGTATATCCAGGAGGAAGTAACTGAAAAAGAAAATTTTTCAGACAGTATTTCATTATAGAGGATCGCTAATTTGTTTAATAGTCTCATCTGAAAATGCTTAGGTTGGGAGAATTAAACGTAGTTATGAAACCCGAGACAGAATGAATGCTTGGTTTACCCTTTAACTCTCTAGATCTGATCGGTAATTCTCCTCTCTAGCTGCTACGCATATCCTTGTAAATTATTTATGAGAATTTGGTGTTAGATCAAGATAACAACTTGTACCTGATAAGTTTGAAGATTCTCATTAGCTGTTTGCCGGATAATTCAGAGATATTATAGGGAGAAGTTTTATGTTGATCACTTCTGGGAGTTTAAGGGTTAACAGAACCCTTCCAACCCCGGATAGACACACGGCAACTTGGAATTGGAAACTTCTCAAGAAATATTTCGAAGTTAATCCTCAGAAAGTCAGGGTAATTCCAATAGTCCGTTCCAATTTGTTTCACTTTTTGCGTAAACTCTTCGATCGAGCACGCACTTAACGAAAAAGTACGAGCTTTTCTTGCCTTTTTCCTGTGCTACGAATTTTCGTGAAACGATGAGTTTTTTCCTTTTTCAAAGGCTGTGTTTTCATTATCTAATCTTGTTCCTGTTTCAATATAAGACAGTGTTCGCTTTCGTTTTTTGCTGATCGAATAGATGAAGTTATCCATGATGAGGACTCGAATCATCTTTACCTACCCTTTTGATCTGTGAAATTGTTGAAAACCTTAACCCTCAAAGTCATTAAACCGAGTTGTGTTTTTACAAGAAAAAAGTCGGCAACTTGTGGACTAGTGCCACTCTTTTATCCCCTTGAAATAATAGTCGTTACCTTTTTAAATTTTCGTACTGTTTTGTTGTTCTTCCAGAACTATATTATGTTCTGCAAGCCTTGCTTTAGATTAGCTGGGCACAAAAGTTTTCTTACAAGTAATCAAATATTTTTTAAATATACATCTTAATTATCAAGAGGTCTGGATAGAAGCAGATGTGTAGCGAATTTAAGAAAATGAAGGACGCTTTTAAAAACATGTTTTGACAGTTCTTCTGTCATCTTCAGTTCTGAATAATACAAAGTCCAAAGCTGAATTTAAAGTGTGTAACAAAATATCTTAATTACAAATGATGCAAGCCTTAAGCCTTTCATTTCACAGTGTTTTTTTTATATGATCTGCGTCTTGCTGTTTATCTTGTGAATTAAATTGCAAATAAACATTTTCATTGTACAAGTTTTCATATGTGTGGTTGGACTTGTTTATAAAACCAAGTCGAGAAGCGACCATCGAAGCTGCATTTCACTCGAAAATCCCTCCAGATAAGCGAATCATAATCACTTAGCCAATTAAAATAACACATTCAAGATAAAGGAGACATTGGCTGGAGGGAGGCGTTCAGAACACTGAAATACCGCAAAACAATTCGGCAAATTTCGCTACATAAGTAAATCGCAAAAAAAAAAAAAAAAGACGCCAAATACCAGAATATTTGAATACCGAGTCAGAACTCGATGTCATGCCGAAACCAAATCTCTTTATATTACGTTTAGTGCAAATAACACAGAAATAACAATTAACAATTTGTTAATTAACGTTTAGTCAGATAATTTTCGATTCGATTGTGATTTTCTGAAGGAGCCAAAGGAGCGTATAAACATCTTTGTCTTAAGATCAAGATGTATCGTTTGAGTTTCATTTTTGGGTGAATTTCACCACTTTTTGACCCTTTTGACCTCAGTATGCTGCGAAACTTTATTGTGCTCCAACAAAGATTTGTAATTTCGCAAACCAGGACTACAAGTGGGTGCGACAACACAACTCTATCAAGAATTTCAACGACTACTTACTCAGCCTTCCCCCCACGATTTATCTGTGAACACTTCTTAAGGACCGTCGTTATTTATCGCCCGGGAAAGGGGGAAGGGGGAAATTTGGAGGATTTTGGTTGTGTCACGAAAAGTTTTACCTGATTTCCCCCCCTCTCCTCCCCAAGGTTCTCTAATATTCTTATGATGTCCCCTTAATGGACGTTAACTGACAGTCAATGTTCTATTGTCCCCTCTTAATACCCTGTTGGCGAAAACTGTCCCCTCCCCAGGCTCTCTAATATTGTTATGACGTCCCCTTAATGGACGTTAACAGACAGTCAATGTTCTATAGTCCCCTCTTAATACCCTGTTGGCGAAAACTGTCCCCCCCCCCAGGCTCTCTAATATTCTTATGATGTTCCCTTAATGGACGTTAACTGACAGTCAATGTTCTATAGTTCCTTCTTAATACCCTTTTGGCGAAAACTGTCCTCCCCCCCTCCCTTCATTCCCCCTGCAAACCATGTGATATCCCCAAAACCCTTCACCTTCCCCTCCCAGGAGATAAATAATAACGACTGGTGTCCTGCCGGAACCATTTTAACCAAAACTGGGTACAAACCATCTCTTAGGAAAACTGATATTTTCTGGGTAGCATTGAAAGAGGTGCAGGTTTTTCCATATTCTTAAGCAAGACACTTGACAATACGTTTACCTATCTTGGTCTTAATTCTACATCGTTCAATATTCCTAAACTTACTTGGACGAACGCAAAGTCTCAGCCATACCATAGTCGAATAAAATATGTCAACGGTCAGATAACCATCTTCCTGACTTTGGTATTCTCCCAATAGAAGTCATAGAGCATTTTCAACAGGATTTCGATTTATAAAGTGGAACGTTCGTTCTGTTGCCTCTCAGACTTTAAGGAGCACTTTTTATAGATTGAAGTATTCTTTAGAATATTTTATTTTCTTCTGTCCTCCCAAATTTTTCCAATCTATTGGGCTACGTTTAGGACCCGTGTTGCGCCTACAATGCACCTCGAAACGCATACTGAATGCAGTTCCCTGTGCAAACGTCTCTCGGCTTGAGGGGAGAAGACACGAGTTCTTCTCATTTGTCTCTTTAGAATCTGGAATAGATTCAAGTCATTTTCAAGACCACTCAACCCATAGAACCGCTCAGAATACTGAGAGGTCTGGGATCTAGATCTGGTTGGGTCATTGTGCTGTGATCACAGTGCCTCTGTCCACCCAGGAGTGTAAATGGATGCAAATGGACAGTTAAGGAAGCCTGACTAAACGCTGAGAGGTAACCTACCCTTGGAGGTGTCGGTTAATCTCGTAACCAGATCCTATCGTTTAACTGTAACTGAAATGTACAACCGCTTGGCGGTGGATGGTCTGGGTACGAGACTAGGTGTCAGTATGACAATACTTGACTTTATTCCTATCGAAGGCAAACTCCAAAAATTCACAGCTGACAAAGGCTCGAGCTCAAAATATACACATCTACTGCACGGCTTCGTTCAACGAAAGAAATATCGCATTAGCAACAGTACGATAATTCTGCAGTTTGTCTGTGATCATTTGCGTGAGGTTTTCTGAAGTTTCAAAGAAGACGTACATAAAAGAAGTCCCACAGAGAGTCAGGAGTTACAATATTTATCCGGCTGTCATAATTGTCTTCTTTACGTGGGTCTTGTAATAATACTTCTATAAACTTAAATCTCCGTCTTATTCTTAAAACTATGAAAATTTCTATATTGTTTAACCGACTGCTACATAAATTTTAACTCCACAGCATCAATTTTAAAACCATTTTTCATCACCAGTTTTATTACCAATTTTTTAAGACCAAAGATACTCATAATTTTTACCTTTATCTTGAATAATAAGAGACCTTTGGAAGGTGTTTAACAATCATTTCTGATAACTCATGGATTTACAACGCGCACTTATCAATATAGAATTTTCAATCGTGCATTACGATGTTAAAAATTGAACTAAACTTCGATATAAAAGCTGAAAACTAATAATTAAAACCAAACTAATAATATCACTTAAGATTCTATCTAAGTCAAAGGAAAACATCGGTTTTTTTTTAAGAATTTGCACTTTTCCTGTCCGGAATGAAAAAAAGATTTATGTGGAATACAGGGGAGCAAAATCAAATTATATTGTTTAGTCATGATAAAGAAACAGGTAGGCCTCAGTTTCTTTCCATATTATTTAGCTTTTTTTCCTTTCATTTAAAGCTCTCTCGTTTGCTTTTCATGGACCTAATTCTCCTTTATCTTCACCCTGGCTTATTTCACGCTTTCACAGGTAACAATTTTGACTCGTTTCAAATTTTCTCCGAATTATACGGAGTCACAACAACCGATATTATAATTTCGCGAAGCAAACTAATTACGCAAATGGATTGATCTTTGACACTTTGTGATTCGTTTAAACTATTAAAGAATATGTATGTGATTAATGATACAGCTTCTTTGTAATTACTCGTCTGAATAGCTCGTAAAACGAAAACAATTTGTAGCCTTGATGGTTATCTGAAGTACAATTCCCTTTTAAATCACCAAATGGAAGCGCAATTCAATCAAATTTTGTCCCCGGAAATAACATTTAATGGGCTTTTAGTCAAATTTTCAAATAACAAAGGGCAACAAATGTCCGTATAAAAGAAGGAAAAACACCAAGTTCTTTGGCGATGTCGATTCGTTTTCATAAGGAAAAGAAAAAAAATTGTCCTATTTGATTAATAAGTACAAGCAATAAAAGCGACAACCCCTTGACTCCCAAGAGTGACTAGCATCTAATTTCTCCTTACAATATCATCCCTGGATCACACGTTGAGGTCATGAGAATAAAAGAAATAATCACCAACTAAGGAAGTACTTGATTGTTAAACAAATTCTCCTTGTCAATACATTAAGATATGTATAGAGAACAAATGGAGAAGATGTATATTGACGTTAGAGTGTAAAGGGTTAACAATGGATTCACAAAGCACTGAATGCTTCAAATCATTTTTCTCTTTCAGTTGCTTGTAAAAGAGTAAAAATTTGTAGCTGCAGAAAAGGTGACGAAGTGGATTAAATAATCGCTCCACCTGTTTAGTGGATGAATTTGCAAAAAGAAGCTGTATGGTCCTCAGGTGTGGTAGTTAAACTTTGAATCGATTTGTCAAAAACGTTATCTTGTGTCAAACTCCGTGTCACTTCGTTTTGTCTTTAGAGGATGGAATCTCCTCAAAGTTCGCTCGGCCGCTTCGCGAAGCTCAGTTACTCGCCAGAAATAGATCACAGGATTCACAGAGGAGTTTGCAAACATGACTGCAACTGCCAAGCAATGTGCCACAGATGTTCTTAGATCTTCTTGTTCTTGCGAGGCACTAACTGCAGTGGTGATAACAAATGGGATATAACTTAACGCAAACGCGGCCACGAGAATGATCATTGTGTTTGTACTGCGGCGATAGCGAATCATACTTTGAAAGGTTTTTTGATTTGTATCGCGTACGTGTTTATTGTGCCTTTTCATAGTTTTGTGAATAAGGGAAAGGCACCTCAAAGCGCTGACTCCCATTACAAAACACACGGCCGTGAGTGCATAAGCTAAGAGCTTGCTGGTGGCCCAAAACCAAAGAACTGTAACCAAAGTCGCCCATATTAACCAGTAGATAACAACCGTTATGACCACGCGAGAGGCTGTTATCAATTCTGTATATCGAAGATGAAAGCGAAGAGCGAGATATCGCTCGAAGCTAATGGCCGTCAGAGTTAGGAAAGAAATCCCATTGAAAAGCCAGCTTGAATAGAAAAGCATGAACACAGTCAGGCAGTATCTTTCCAATTGGCCAAATAGCAAGAACAGTTCGGCTACAACGAAGAACGGCTGAGATGTGAAACCAACAAAAAAGTCGGTGGCTGCCAAGGAGCAAAGCAAAATGTTTCTCGGCGAGTGCAACGCGGGCGTTCGCCATGTGACGAACACAACTACTGCGTTTAAAAACAATGCGAAAAAACAAAGCATGAACATGAAAAAAGAAGCCGTTAGAGAAGCGATAACGTAGTACTGTGGCAGCTTCTTCCTGATGTCCATGTCCAAAAACGGTTGAAGATTCTCGCAGTAACCAGATGGCTTGATGATTGAAGCGTTTAGCAGAATTAAACTTGTTATATTCGCCATGATTGTGCCAAACTGTGTCTTCGGCTGTCGTGTTGTTCATTTATATCCACTAAAATACGTCAAATTGCTCTTTTCTTTGAAAGCTTTTAAACAGCAGCTGCATGTTAGCTCTAACACGGTTGGCAATTTCCTGTAAATGCAATCTGAAAACCGTTTCTGATCTTTATAATGATACGGTTTCCTTATTCCGTGCAGCAATTTCGGGTTATTAGATGCAATTTCTCAAAGAAACCAGAATATTCCCTCAACCTAATTTGCACTTGTTGATTAATTTTTTTACGAAGAAAAGTTCTTCATCTCAAGTTAACCATTCATATGCAAATAACAAGCGTCTTCTTGAAATGAGTATTTACTTAAACTGAGGTGAAAATATCTTTGACGTAAATGAAAAATGAACTCTTGGTTTTCATCTCGGACAGCATAAATTCTTTGTTCAGTATCCAACATACAAGCGCGGGTCCAATGAATGCTAAGAAGATAAAGATTTTTTTCTTTCAGGAAACATCGTATTTGGTTTCTCAACTTCATCTTTTTTTGAGCATAAATCGATTTGTTAAATATTCAATGATTCGTAACTCTTCTTTTCTTTAATTTATGATAATAGATTGGTAAACTTGATAGGTGGGGAAAACCGCAAACTGAAGGAACATTCTAAACTGAAGTTGCAAGATGATTATAATTAAAGAAGTTTGGGACTACTATGTTTTGTTTAGAACTGAAAGACCGTCAATGGCTGCCAAAAATAAATTATCTATCTGCAAAATGTACTGCCGAAAATATTAATTTCCACAGGTAAAAATTTAAATCTCCCGACAGAAATTTATGCAAGAGAGAGCCAAAATAAATTGGCATTCCGTAATCAGCTCCTCTTAAAGTGTGAGAAAACGTGACTTCGTTTGTAAAACGTTTGTATGTCCTAATGAGTTTCATTAGAGAGTTTCATTCAGAGAGCCGCTGAACAAGATACTCAGAAAATGGTGGGCGACAGACGAGGAGAGAGGAGAGAGGAGATGGGTGAAATGCCACTTGATAATCCCCTCTGGTGTATATAATAAACACCCTATAAATACATGCATATAAGCTTCGATTGACTTCCAAAAACAACCAGAGACGACTTGATAGACTTTTGATGTGCTACTGCAATAATACTACCTATACTGATAATAATATATAAATATATATATATATCCGTTTTCTCACGATTCCTATGCCATTTTTGACCAGAGAGGACCATAACAATTATTTTGCGAAAGATTTGACTATGGCCAGGGGTAGCATTCGGGTTTTCTGATCTCTAGTGCTACCCATTGCACGGTTTAAAAACAGCTGTTTTTCTGGCCAGCATTGGGAAAAACTTTGTTAAAACAGAAAATCCCTTTCTGTTTATCCTCTCTTTATTCAAGAGATCAGCAAGTTATGGAAACAATTGAAGTGAAGCGGTCACTGAGATTTGTTAGAAGGATTCAAAATGGCGGCGTCAAAAGTGGAATTTAAGCGTATTTAAAGGAAATCTTCGTTCGGAAGGTTCGCTTAGTCCTTGGAACAGCAAAGAGTAATAATTTCATAACTACTTTTCAACGGTGGAGAAAATAAATCATAGGGTTCCTGAAGAGCAACTCTGATTTTATTGAAGAATGCCTCCTTGTAAAAAGATTAACCCCCTTCTATGATCTTGCAAAGAGAGTAGGAATCATTCTTCCAGTTGGTTGATAAATACTGCAATGAGTCTAATGATTTTCAACCTGTTTGAATTCGCGTGATGTATCGAAGAGAGAAAAAGTTGGTTTTAATTCGAGCTACTGGTCGCACCGACAAAATTCTAACGTTAACAAAAATCCTCCATGTCACATGAGGCGAAGCGTTGCGGCGACTTTTCCAAGTGCTTTTCGCTGGGAACTATTCTTACCTAAGTTGCTGTGACTTTGCCACGTAAATGACGTAAATAATGATCTGTCTTTAAGAAATAAACTGAAAAATTTAGCGTAACTCGTTGGCATTTTTCATTTTCTATTTGAACCAACTTCTTGGCCATCTTTTTTGCCATTTGTCTTTCTTCTTGTACCTTTTTCGTCAACTTTCAAATTTGGTCAACCATTTTTCAAAGTTCTTTCATCTAATCCAAGATTATCCTTAACTAACCTGATAATTAAAAATATCATGACGTCACTCGTGGTGTACTTAATTGGTTAACGATTTTCATAATCAAACACTCGCTCTTTCACTCGAACAAGTTTCGTGTCATGCGATGTACTGCATGTCATTTACGTCGACCGTTATTTGAACATGCGCATTTGATTCCCAAGCAAGGTCAATTTTTCTCTCCTCTTTGTGAACAGTTATGCATTCCCGACAGGTAGGTTTTTCAATAATTTTTTATGCATTATCTTCAAGGTTTCAAACAGTACTTCCCTTCCTCAATGTTATGTCCTCTTCGTAGACAATTCACAGCGACCTTTCACTTCGGGTGACACATAGAATTTCCCTGAAATCATCGTCTCTGCGAGAAAATTCTATCTTTGCTATGGTCACACAAATCTAAACTGGTTCTTATTGCTGCGCATGATCGCGACTTGTCGTCAGTTAATGATGCACACGAAGTGTTTTTTTTGTGTGTGTCATTGCAAATGGTCCTCTTCGGCATTTAGACTCCTCCTTTCATTTGCATGAAATTTTCCGTCTTGAGATCTTTATGACTGCCTTCCGAAGATCGCGAATTCGCCAACAGTACAAAAAAGGATTGATGGCAGAGTTTGCAAACACCAATGTTACTGTGAAAACCCAAGCTTCCTGGGAACCAACGGGAAACTTTTCTCTATAAAATATCCTATAAATAAACCATGGAAGATAACAAAAAATTGTACTAATATAGAATACGAACGTGTTCGTAGCAGTTCGTGTTAACATGGCTAAGCTGTAGACATTTTGGGCACTGGGATATTCCAATGCTTGCCTTTGAGCGTATATTTCTGCATTATGTCGGCGAACTATGCGATATATACCAATATACGAAACAGTGGACGCTGAGATATAAACACCAACTAATACCATGGCTAAATGAAAATTTGTTGGTGTATACCATATGTTAAGACCGGAGTTTATTAGCCAAATTAATATCAGAGTTAACTTAACTCGCGATTTAGTAACCAGAGAGCTGTATGTCATGTGAAACTGTAAAGCCAAAAATCTATCGACACTTATTGCTGACATGGTAGCGAAAGAAATTCCGCAGAATAAAGTCCCAAAGCTTCTTGTCAGTCTGGCAAAAATGTAAACAGATGTAAGATCCCTGGCTATGAAGATCGGTTGGACTATCAAACCCACGACGAAATCGGAAGCAGCGAGACCACACAGCAAAATTATGGAAGGTGAACGGAGCGAAGGTGTCTTTAGAACGGCTGTTAAAACCATAGTGTTACCGAGAATGGATAACACTAGCAGCGGAACGTTCAGAATACAGTTAACAATGGTTAAAGTTGATAGACCAGTTGGAATTTTGTCGTCATCAGAATCTTGATCAAAAACTGAAACATTCAATAGATCAAAGCTAGCGTTGAGCATCTTAGGGAATTTAGCTTTCCGACACACCTTTGCTGAAAATTCAAACTTGTTGCAATGAGAAGTGACTTTTTCTGAAATTGTGTCCGCCTTGTTTGTCGCAGTTACTGAGAGTTCAGTATTGACAATCCAGTTTGTTGGGTTTATAATCAGTTTAGCAGGTGCACAGTTTTAATAGTCAACTTATGACGGTACATGACAAGATGTCAATTTCTGCATGAGTAAAACGAATTTTGTAAGCAAGGTTCTCTCTTTCCACTTTCATGTTCAATTTAAATTTGTTTTTTTGAAATATACCCTTCATAAAGCCTGAAATTTGCGGCATCCAAATTTTCACATGGGGAACAATTGTTGTCCTCCACTTTGGGAAATGTAGCTGAAGAAAGGCGAACTGATTAAGAACGCTTCTTTAGATGTCATATAAGAGACAACTGGCGGCTTTATTATACGCGGAGAGTTCGCTGTTTTAAATATCTAATATGCCGACAAATTTTCAGAGCTTTTTCATAACAGCTTTTCATAAGACACTACTAAAGTAGCACTTGGGACTGACAAGTTGGCGATGAGTCATGAAGTTGGCGTTGAGTCATAATTTTTAGAGCATTCAGGATGAGATGACAGAAACACTTGAGATGGACATATAATTTGCGGTAACAGCAAATTTCAGATATGTATGGGTTAGTGCCCTCATCATTCAAAAATATACCTCGGGATAATTGCTCCAAATTTTGCTGAGCGAAGTTTTAGGATGTATTGTTGTCGACTATACATCATTTAATGTAATGAGGTACTTTAGAGGCCGAAAACGCACGCATAATAAAAATTATCAACCATGAAATGCACAAGGGGAAACAGATGGTATTACACTGCGCAATTTATTCGTTCTCGTTTACATAATATTCGCACTTTTTAATCTGTCGGAAGGGTGATAAAACACTAAATTATCACTTAATTTTTAGAGCGTACAAGTCTATCTTATTGAACTGTTCCTAATCAACAGAGAACATTCATTCCGGATAAAAGTGCGAAAATTTAGCGAGAGTAGGAGTCCTGTTTAAAAAAACCTATTATGAAGATGCTTGATTGTTCATGATAGCGGACACTAACTTGCAGCTGTGCAAACAGACAAAATAATAACTTTCTATTTTAACTGAACTGAGGTGACAGGCGAGCACAATTTAGACAGTTTGGCATTTTGAAAATTTGTCTTAAATTTCTTTGAGGTTATTTTGTTTCATTTAACCTTTTAATGATGCTAGGAAGATGCTAAAAAAATTACATGCGACGGAACCCTGACTGAGAAGTTTCCTAAGAAAATATTAATCAGTATGGATGTGTTTGAATGCGAAATCTATTTTCGAGTGTTATGGTAGAAAATATCATAATACCTAACTCGGAGAAACATGAAGTAAGCTCTTTGACTAAATACAACTGTCTATATATATTTTTAAGAAAATAGTCCGTTGGTGCCGGAAAATTGCTCTCGGCGAAGGTTCTAAAAAACATAAGTTTGATAACATTGTTACAGCGTTGATGAATTTAAGGTGCACGGCAAGAAGAAAAGTCAAACTTACGATAAATAGACCTAATAAATTCGCCTAAAACAATAGTTATCCAAACAAGAACCGTAAAAACATCAGAAGCGTTGATAGTAACCATTCATAATGGACATATTTATGTATTTTGGCCTTGTAAGGCATTTTAATGAGCAGTTGGCACAATTAAGGATTCAGTTTCGTCTGGCACTTTAATGAATATCGCGGTACGATAGATTTTTATTTTTTTCTCAACTGTGACACGGTTAAAGCTTTAATTCAAAGACAAAGAGACGGACAACTAATGTTAATACAATTCTGTTTTCCTGTTGAAGATTTTTAAAACCTTTTTCTTTTTTTTTTTTCTTTGAGCGTGTGTGTGTAATGGAAAAAGAGGAAAACTTTAAAACATATTTACTTGGACCATTATGGACCAAAATTTACCCTCTGTATGCAGAGACATTCTGCAGTTGAGAGAAAATTGCATGGTTTGCTCTTTTGTTATCACAGCCTTTAAAAAGTAAAAACGTAACATTTTTGTTTCTCCTCAAATGGATGAAATTTATCCTTTTTACATGCTTTTCGGTCCCTATGAATTTATTCAGCAGTGTGTACTATTTTCTAGTCAATCATTTAATTTCAGATGAGACTTTGTGGCCTGACGTAAATAAAACGCGCAAAAACATACAAATAAATTTCAGGAAATTACTAACTTTAAGAACTGCGCATTTTCGAACTGAAAGCGGTCTTCGAGAGATAGCAAAGGTTCATTTCCTTCCTGCTTTTTCACGATTTATGGCAAGATATTTGCCTTAATAACTTCAAAACCGCCCCCCGAAGTTCACGAAGACGCCAGCAATACAGTACAGGATTGATGGCCGAGTTGGCGAACACCAAAGTTCCCGTAAAGATCCAAGCATCGCTGGCATCTTTGAGAACGATATTTGTATAAAAAAGCCGATAAATGCTCCATGGCAGATAGCAAAAAACTGTACATATGTAAAATACGAAAGTGTTTACTGCCGTGCGAGTCAAAATAGTCACGTTTGCGGTGATTTTAATACTTGGAACTCCCATTGCTTGCTGCTGAGCGTGGATCTCGAATTGGTGTCGGCGAGCGATTCGATAAATGCCAATATAGGCGATGGTGGAAACTACCATATAGAAACCCACCAATCCAAACGATATATAAAATTGTTCAGGTGCATACCAGACGTGAACTCCGGAGAATATTGAGAAGTTTACAAGCCAAATAAATATCAAAGTGCGTTTAACGCGCACTGTGGTAACCAGAGAATTGTAAATCATGTGATATTTCAGAGCCAAAAATCTTTCCAAGCTTATCGCTGACATGGTAGCGAATGAAATTCCACAGAACGTAACACCCAAAATTCTCGTCACTCCGGCTAAAAATTTCACTGAATCGAGTTCTTTCGCGATAAAAAGCGGCTGCACAATCAAGCCCACGGCTAGGTCTGAAACAGCGAGACCACACAGCAAAACTATGGAGGGTGAACGAAGCGAAGGAGCTTTGTAAACGGCTGCTAAGACCAAGGAGTTTGCCAGAATCGATATCAGCATTAGTGGAATATTTAGAAAGCAGTTTAGTAAGATGATAGTCGAAGGACCAGTTGAATTTTCGTCTTTCTCAATATCTAGATTATGCGTTGCATTGGAAATTTTGAGGTCGTTGTCCTCCATCTCGAAGCTTTGGCAAATCTAGCATTTTTTAAAAAGGTTCTGTCGTTTTAGTTTATCATTGTCGTGAGTTTCAAGTGAAATGCTGTTCAAGCTCGTAGATGTCCAACCTTATTGGCAGTTACGTATATATTAATTGTTAAAAATTAATCACGTTTATTATATGGATCTTTCAGCATGTAAAAATTTCACCTGCAATTTAAGTCAATTCACCTGAACCAAATAGCAAAAATTAACATTCAATTTGTTTATTTTTCCTTTCCATGGACAAAATGTCGAAATTTCATTTAAAAAAAACTGGACTGAGCCTTAATTAATTGCTGAAAAATTAAAAAGGTTGAAGCTGGTAGCTATTGTAAAGCTGTTTTACACTCCAGGGTAATCGAAATGAAACCTGGTCCGCCATGTTACAATTTTAGATTAGCGGGCGCGTTTCCTAGTCAAACCATGACAGGAGCCAGCGACATCAGAAATATTGAGCTGAGGGTGACCTTTTGTTCAAGGGATTCAGATTTTTAAGTAATATAAAATCAAATTGAAGACAAAATACCGTGTCTTAAAAATAGAAGAAAATAAATTAGGTAAGATGAAAAGGCGAGTAATTTTTCACTGCATCGAGGGAAATTTGTAGTACCCATTTTGTGAAAATCCTATCTCTTGTACATTGCAGCCTCAAAGTCAATATACAATGACGTCCATCAAAGTTCGTCACATTTTAACGAAGCTAGCTCATGTAGTACTGCAGCCACCGCTCCCTAAGGTTTGTATGGGTACACCGTGAATCTTATACTCAGACCTTCCTCGGCCGAACAATAGAGGAGACAACAGCGTTCAAATGTCTGTACATGCGCACTCGTTGTGATTTTTCGACAAAGTTCAGAACGAAGCGGTAAATTAACAGGAAACCCGTGTTTGAAACGTCGCAAGTTTTCCCTTTTCCCTTCTTTAGTTTCCTTTCACAGATTTCTATGAACGATTCAATTCTTTTATTCGCATATTTTGAGTGACAGCGGCTTTTTCTTATTCCTTAAGCGGGGAAAATATTGATTAGCGCGCGCGCGGACATCCCCTTGCGCATTCCTGACATTTCTCCTGGGTCGCGTAACAAAAGTTGGTCAAAGTAACATCGACCAACAGGGAGGTCACATATTCGGATTTCTTTTACAAAGACATCACTTGTACGGCCCGATTGCACTGGAAGTTGAGAAGTATTGTTGGCGAAACAATTTCGTTCTTAGACGGTCTGAGTTACATTAACGTACTTTGTGTAATCCGGTGGGGTTCGACTCACTCATTTCCAAGTGTACATTTCAGTAATCGTGCGACCTCGGAAAAATTTATCGAATATTTGTTGTATTCAGCGTTGTATCCATGCAAGTATTATTATACTATCTACCGAACGGAAGACACGCTGAGAATTAACATCTATGTAAAGGAGGTAAGATACTGCAAATGGTTTTTGTCATTTTTAAGTTTTAGGAACCTTTGCCGACCTGAGCTTAACGTTGGCTGTATTTAGTTCCGTTTCTTTGTCAAGCCCGAGTTTAAGAGGTTCTTCATAAACATTTTGCAAAAAGCGATGCATGATGACATCCTAAGCAGGGGAGGGGGGGGGGCGAGGGTGGGGGAGGGACTCATACTAGCCTAAAATTATCATTCAAACTTTTCATTGTAGGGAAAAGTGTCAGTAACAATGCTATGTTAACAGATAATGCATGATATAAATTGGAGGCAAATCTTTAGATTTTTGACTCCCAGGAGTGATCGGTATGTAAATTATTCTTACATTTTCAAAAGTAAACAGGTAACAAGAATGAAGAAAATTATCAACAAGGTGGACTTGATATAACTCCAAATTTCTCAGGACTAGTCAGCACAAAAAATGAACAGTATTAGTTCGAAGAATTGACATTAAGATCTGAGCAGTGAAAGGGCGAAACACTTAAAGTATTTAAAATGTTTTTGTATTTCTGCAATGATAAACTATCCTTGAGTGCATAGTACATAATGCTGAAGATTGGAAATTGTTTGGGTTTATTTCAAGTTTATTTCCAACTGCAAATAGTTTAAATTTCTTGTCTGATACTCAGGAGCGCTGCGAACGCCCTCTGGTTCTAGATCACTAATCTTCTGTTTTAGGTGCTTGTCGATAGGCTGAAGAAGTCCTACTGACTATTAAAAGGACCAATCATCTGGTTTGCTAAAAATCTGCGTATAATTAATTTAGTGTTAACAGCAGAGTTGAAAACGTAAATTGGCCACCGTAAAGAGTAAAAAAGCTGACGTTTCGAGTGTTAGCCCTTCGTCAGAGCGATTGGAGGAATTGTAGGTTGTGTGTGGGTTTATATGCAGAAATTGGAGCTACGCTATTGGTGGGAGTATGGTGACGAGAAAACAAGAATAAATTAGTTGAATGAAAAGCGCTCGTTGATACCGTGGAGATTAAGAGTGCCGATTTGGAAGATAAATTTTTGTTCTAGTGTTTTGCGGCTAACAAAAGGGTTAACGCTTGAAACGTCGGTTTTTTTACCCTTTACGCTGGCCAATTTACGTTTTCAACTCAGTTGTTAACACTAAATTACCTGTTATACTCTCCCACCGACGCAGCACCACAGTTTCTTTAGAAACTTACCCCCTTTATTCATTTGCGTATAATCAAGTTTTGATTAAAGTTGTCCATTTGCATCAATATCATCAATGCTATGAGGATCTATCACAGATTATTATTATTGTTGTTGTTATTACTATTACTAATAATAGTATTATCATTATTATGTAGTAATGATAATAGTAATAATAAAAATAATGCACTTATACGGCGCAAGTTCAACGTAAGTTCTCGCATGCCCCTCACAGTTCCTTACAAATATCTCAAGATAAAGAAAAAGTAAGACGTCTACCGTTGATAGATGAAGACAGCTGTACGCGATGAGGAAATTTTTTTAAATTTTCAATTTCTGATACTGACAATATGAATAATAGTATAATTACTTGTCCACTTTCTCTTTAATCGTATTTTAAAGGTATTTTAAAGTAATTTGAACCTGGTACCTTTCCTATGGCGTGGCCTTGATGGTCAGTAATATGAGGCAACTGTATATAGAATCTCCTTTCCCCAAAAGCCGACTTTTTGAGACTTGATCTTAAATGCCTGGACACTTCCTGCTGTGTTCTTTTCCACCTCGATCTATTTCGAACAGTAAGGTAAATTACAATACATTTTATAGACCCAACACTTACTCGTTGACTTTCCTTTGTTTTGTTTTTTGCTTTGTTTGTTTGTTTTGTTTGTTTGTTTTTTTCAATCAGGAAAAGTTTTGTGGAATAGAAAAGTTTTGTGGAATAGAAAGAACTACAATATAAACGGGTTGCACTGTTGCGAAAATCATTTCGTTTCACAGCGCCCTACCTTAAATGACGGGAACATGGCCACTTCCCTCACAATGATCTGTGCTGGACAGGCCAGTTTCTTTGTATGTTGTGGGACTCTGTAGGAATGGCCCCTCCATAATGATTTCCAGATTTCATCTTCGAAACGAAAAGTAAAGATAGATTAAGACTAAAGATTAACCTTTTTTTATTCAAATCAAGAGCTGTTGCATTAAAGTTTTCGATGTTTAACTTTGGAGATTTTGCTTCTCACCCTAGTTTTTTCTCCTTAGATGCGCTTCTTCAACGCCACATTTCTGTCTTTTCCCTGATGGCAGTCACATACGGGTGTTCCGATAATCATAAAAGGAATGCCGTCGAAATTTAATTTCGGTCCATTGACAGGCTGCGGATCTTCCCAGAAAATTCTGTGGTTCGGTGCGGATCTCTATGAAAAAGTAAAAAAGTACAAATCAAATTAACTACTTGCGACAGACGTCTCTGCTACTGAAGCTTGCTATTCGGGCTACGGAAGAAGTCGACATGCACTCAAAGAAACAGCCTTTATGCCTTAGCGCGGTTGATAATTCGATGAAATAGGATACGACTTTATACCTCACTCTACAGTGTTGTTGAATTATAAATGAATGCATCCAGATATATTGCATGGATTACGTTTCAAACAAAAAATATACATTTCCTTTTTTTTTTTTACCTTTATTGGTAGAACTCTGACATAAGAAGTTCGCGTTTAATATTTGTGGTCAAGTCTTGTTCTCCTGTTTGTCTGACCTTTAACCTAAATACCTTTAAGTGGATGTTAAATGAAACAGCGACCCTTAGGTAGATGTTTTCGAATGTTAATTTGGTAATTACTTTTTTGGAAGAAAAAACTTTCCTTTCTTTGTTTGTCTGACCTTCCATGAAAAATATTTAATTACAATTTAATTTCCTTTAACCGACTCTGAACTGCTTTATTTTCACTACAAAATTAGGACTGCAGCTTACATTTCCGCCCGAAATACTTTGGAGCTTTGAGCAAAGCGAACTTCGTTGTCGTTTGTAATTCGTGGCTTCAAATAATTCTTTTAACGTTCTCAAAATCATAGACGTAACCATAATTCGCAGAAATCGTAAAATCGAAGTTTACCGCTATTTTTCGACAACGCGGCAGTTTTCGTCGTGACATCGAGACAGTTCATTTAGTTCACGGTTGATTTTTAACGTTTCAACTTCCGGTAAATTCGTGCCGCCCGAAAATTTTCGTAACGCAACACCCAAAGCCGTGACCTTCTTCTGGTCTCGTGACTCCCGTGGTCACGCACAAAGGCATAGCTAATAATGAAGGCGTGAAGAGAAGATGGCGGCCTCTACATTTGAGATTTCTGTCGTGAAAGAGAGTTGTTCACAGCTTGGAGAAGGCCCCCATTGGGACGAGACGACACAACGGCTCATATGGGTGGATATTCTGGGGCATAGCGTTCATCTACTTGATACTGTAACGGGAAAGGTGAGATAATTTTATGAGCCTCTGTGTTTAATGATGTATGAAAACAACCTGCCCTACGCTTTGTGGTAGTTGACGTTTGACATGACATAAAGTGAGTATTATAAAGGTAACACCTTTGGAAAGATTTCCGTATAACTTCATTTCGGTTGTCTCTTTTTAACCCTTTGTTAGTGAAGATTTCGGTCGTAAGTTAAATAGGGGATGAGGTTGTAGTTACGCTTTGTTGATCGAAAAAAAATGGGACCTACGTCTTTGTTGTTCATCATTTGCAAAATTATCTGCTTCAATATTTTACGCCTTGCGACAATTTTGTTCCTTCTTAGTTTGCGATTTTTTATTTCGTGTAAATCTTTGATTATGTATTTTGTGATATCGAAATCTGCCGGGTGAGGTAGTTTTGCATTCGAAATTGCCTTTGGGCTTTTTGGAGCCTACAGCCCTATCAATTCCTTACAAAGATCAAATTCTCGGGAGCGAAGTAGAATGCTTGGCAACCGAGGAAGGCAATATGATTTTATTTATGTATTCGCTGATCTTTTTGTCTCATACGTGATTGTGTCAAACGATAAGAATCAAATTAAACTGTAGAATCCAAAAGCTGAGAGGATTAGTTAGTCAGTGACAGTGGAACATTTTAGATTTTTTTTATCTTTGTTTGGAAATTGTGTCAAGTTTTTAGCCCTGAACTAGGCCAAAAGACAGCGATAAAAAAATCTCTTCAGATGGTTTTGCTTTAAGGGTTAAGGTAACGTACAGATCCATTTGAAGCTTCAATTCCCCCTCTCTCCTGAGCAAACCCCAGGCTTTTTACTGCTCTCTGTGCCCAAAGGGTGAGGAGTTTGAATTTGTTTTAATAGAGGAATTTAAAGGTTAAAGAGTCTCCTTTCAAGAGGAAATGGCTAAGAAAGACAATTTTCTCATCATAGAATGATGCTTACAAGTGAGACCAAACAGCAGTACCAAAAACTAATACATTGGATCACCAAATATTGGGTAGGGCATTTTGAATGCAATTTTGGCCCAGGGGAGGTGTTAAATTGAACAAGCCAATCTCCAAAAGTTCAATGCCAGGGAGGGTTGCATGGGGGTGGAGGGAGAGGGAGGTTGTTGAAGCTTTGAATTGATTGATGCATAACAACCTTCTGATGTGTTCTATCTTTAGGATGTAAAATATCATTTTGATGGACCAGTTGGAGCAGGTAAATGAAAACAATAACTCAGTTGTGATTAAAATGCAACTTCTCCCATCACTGTCAATCTGTTATCCAACAATCAGCTGATGAGAATGAATAAACATATCTTTTAAATAATGTATGGTAACAAAATATTGTATAATAGCTAGAGGGCAGTTTGAAGTATAAATTTCATTTCTTAAGGAGATTAACATGTAACTTCTCCCTATAATATCTATATATTATCTAGCAAACAGGTAATGAGAATACTTAAACTTATCAGGTAGAAGTTATTTTGATCTAACACCAACTTCTCATTACTAATCTACAAGGAAATCTGTAGCAGCTAGAAGGGAGAATTAACAATCAGATCTTGGAGTTAATCTAACCTTTATCTATGAAGTAGCAAGAATGGCTACATAGGAATCCTTCAGAACTTTCATAGGAATATATTTAATTAATGCTAAAAATATGACAGTTTTATTGGATGGATTAAGAACAGTTTATTTTTAGACTTTAAAAAGAAGTTTGTTTTTCTAACGGAGAGTTTCAATGAGATCTTTAACAAGAGGGCACCAGAATTATGACAAGAGGTCTTGCTAAGCGTAGGGGTCCCTGGACATGCACTCAGTAAAGACTTCTTTATAAGGAGACTGTTGGATAGTTTTCTAGAAAAGACAAGGACAGTAGTATACATTTTTATACATTCAATGAGACAAGCGTACATTGAATTTGGGAAATCAGTGCCTGGAAAGTCATCTAGCAGCAGGTCATACAACAATCAGGTCAAGGACAATCAAGGTCATGGTTAATCATGTCATGCATGACCACAGTGCATGATTTCTATGGGTAATCATGTAAAGCTTGTGTGCTTTGTGTTGCTTGCCGATTTATATATTTTTACACATATAGAAATAAATTATCAGTTCCACTTACTACCATGACCATTTTTTTTTTGTTTAGTGTATAATAAAACAATACATGTAATTAGATTCAGTTTTTGTGATATCCAGAATTATCAAGGTCTCCATGAGGGTTATCAGCCTCAGCCTTTGGCTTCATCTGATAACCCCTACCTCAACATTGATTATTCTGGATATCAAAAAAACCATCTTACAATAATTGTTTAAAAAATGATAAAGCAGCTGGGCAAAGTTCAGTCCACAGCTGGTCAGCTTTTTCACTGCTCAGCCCTTAATGAGACCCTTGAATTTAAGTTAATACTGTTCAACAGGTTTATCATCACTTTTTAAATTTATTGTAACTCTTTAACCCTTAAAATCCCATGAGCGACCAAGAGAGAATTTCTCCTTACAATATCAATACGATATCAACCAGACAAGTGATGAGAATAAAGAAAAATATCAATTTGGGGGTATTATTAATAAATACTATATTAAATTCTCTGAACTGACGTTATAAGAATGGTATTGTTGACAGTAAGGAGAATTACAAATTTGATCTGGGAGTTAAAGGGTTAAACCCTGAGAGTGACCAGCATGTGATTTCTCCTTACAGTCATACTGCTGAATCATTCATTAAGATCATGATAATGAGAATAATCGAAATGATCACCAACTTAAGAAGCTTTGATTGCGTGACAAATTCTCCTTGCCAACACTGTAAGAAATGTATGGAAAAATATATTGGAAAGAGTATGGAGAACATGGATACCGATGTTTTGGTTAAGGTTGTCAATTATTCTCTACTTTAGCTGTGCCAAGGAAAAGAGGTGGTTCTTTGTTGGTGGCAGTCAATAGAGATTTTATATTCCTTGATCTTGAGGTTAGGACCATGAATTATTTGAATATGTTTATTAAGTTACATGTAAGTGCTTTGCTTTTGAAAAAAGAGTGTTTTTAATTTCTAATTTACATTATATTCTGATTTTGTTTTGCCAAATATTCACCATGTAGCATGCTCCTTAATATAAATTTCAGAAAGAGTTATTTTTTCCAGCAAGAATTACAGTATGTGCTGAAAAATTGCACCTCTGCTCTATCAGATTTCATCAAGAGAATCGGTTTTTTATTTCATACCTACTGAGATTTACATGTACACTGCAAAGTGTACATATAACAAAGCACTTCACATATGGTCCCTCAGGAAACTAGTTAGTTTTGTTTTCCCGAGAGTCCTGATGTTTCCCTCAATGTCATCTCAGGAAACATCAGGACTCTTGGGAAAACAAAGCTAACTGTTTCCCTCACGACCACACATTAAGTGTATAATATTCTCTTGATTGTATTTAGCCTGTAATCATACCATCATCGTAAGCCCTTCAACAAAAGCATTTCTTCCCTAGTGGGAAAGTGAGAGGCCTTGAATGATATGAATTGGTGAGAGATCCACAAGGGTCTAGTGCTGATGATTGTTAGTGCTGCACCCCCCCTGACAAGCCTTTACCTGACTCCTCTGATATTTTCTCAAGGGCTGAGAAACACATGTCTTCAGTGCAGTGCTAATGAACAAAAGATCTACTATCTTAAGGTTCTTTGGATCAGCTAACAGTGCACTGGAAACCTGAAATGGCTCAAAACAAGCATCAGAAAATTCATAAACAATGCACCCTGATGAAGGGCTAAAGCCTAAAAGGTCAGCTTTATAAACTCTTAAAGGAGGCCAATTTACATTATTAACTCAGTCCATAAAGCAAAATTATCTTCTAATACTTCCTGCAGATGCAGAGTCACAACTTCTTTAGCTTCTGAAAAGGGTAAGTTTCTAAAGAAGCTGTGACACCTGAAGGAATTTGAAGCCTGATTATCAAAAATGTTTGTTCACTGTCTAAGAAATCAATATTTCATCGACACACTCTAGTACCCATTGTGATAAATATGTTTAACAGACAAACATCCATTTCAATCACTTATTTCTCAGACAGGACAAAAGGAAGTGGTAGCTTCAGTTGATAGTGAGTATTGCTTAAGAAGTGCCTCAAGTTTGTATTTTGTAATTCTTTTTTCTTTTAGTTAACTGTGCTACAATTGAATACTAAATAGTCTACATTAAAAAATATATATAAGTATATTAAAAATGTATTATTGTGAAATCAAAAAAATTTTAACCTCTTTTGCATTTAGAGGACAAGCCAGAAAATCGTTTCAATGATGGAAAATGTGATCCAGTAAGTATTTTCACTTTGCAAAATGTGGACATATTTATGCCATAAACTGAATCAAATTTGTTAAAATAAAGCAAAAGCTGTTGTTTCTTGTCTGATATTACTAAAATATAATTAATATCAATTTTTCTTGGATTTTTTTTCAGGCTGGGCGATTTTGGGCAGGTAAATCACATGGAAAATACTTTATATTTAATATGTCCAGGATTATTCTGTGTTCCGGTTCTGGCTTATGTGACTGTGTTGTATACATTCATAAACTGTCTAATATGTTAAATTACTAAATAAATAAATAAAGTGCGGGTAAACTTGGAAGGTAAAACGTCAAGATGAGACCTTTCGTGAAGTAGAGAGTCATGCAATAATTTGTCTTTAGTAACGTAACACTTTATCTACAAACACACCCTTAGCCTATACCAGTAGAAGGAAGAAGAAATGAGAATTTGATTCTTCTTGTCTTAACAGGTACCATGGGTCCAGAAGAAAGGCCAGTGTGTGTAAAACCACATCAAGGATCCCTGGTATTGAACATGTGACTTGATCATAATGGTAGCGGAGCTGTGACTGCGTGCATTACGCGTGCAGTGTAGCTCCATACTTAATAACATTTTATTCCTTCTAATAAGTGGCCTTGTGAGGAATAATGGCGGCTATGCTGGTACGATAAGAAAGGAAATAAAGTTAGCGATATTAAGGGTGAGTAGGGGCTGGCTAGGATTTCTTTAAAGGAGGGGGATTCCCAGCGACGAATTTCCACGAGCCTAATGTGATGTGACTTATGCCGCTACTCTACCTTAGGTATAAGCGGTCTCGTAATCATGCGAGGGGAAAAACTGACTATGTGTGCTTTGAAGATTGCTGACTCGGCTCCGCGTGTTTTTCGGATGTCTTAAGTTTGCCTGCGTAGCTAACGTTTTGTGTACGTTTTGAGGCGTCAAGCAGTGGAGCCGTGATGACCAGCAACGAAGCCGCGTGAGGCTTGGGTCTCGCTTGTTTTAAAGAGCACAAAAAACGGCCGGCTTCACGGGCTAACCTGAAGTATACGATTTGATTAAAAGGAAAAAAGTATCTTTTTTTCCTTTTTTTCCCACAAAAGAAGAAAGGGGGCTCATAGAACACCCCATTACTCTCTTCGGACACCCCCTGTGGATTAATTGGTTGAAAATCCAACTAGCCCTTACTTATTGCTGAAGAACAGCAAAGCTGTAGCCACTCCTTAGTTTACTCTTTGCATTTCCTACCAGCCCATCTCTCCAGTTTATATGTGAGACCTATTCCACCTCCTAAACCCCACTACTGCCGCGTTCCATTCTTGTTTTGATATTCTGCCTCAACTTGTTTCTCAGTTCTCTTTAGATTGCAATATGGCTGTACGAAGTTTGGTTGACAAGGTTAGTTGATTACAAACAGTTGAATATAGTTTTGCACAAATATGCTCTGGATTACGGTCGCAGTAATAGTATCCTAAAACTAGAACATGTGATTGTAACAAGGTGGGACAGTATAAACTGAACGGATTAGTTTATTGATAATTAAAGCACATTTCTAGTTAATGTTGATGTTTTACAAAAGTAATTGACGCGTGCGGAAAGCATGAATTTCCAGTAGCGCGATGAAAAGGCTTGAACAGAAATCCTCTCCCTTCTGAAAATTAAATGAATGAAAGCAATTTAAGATTTTAACATTTTTTGGACTTGAAACGTGTTGTGAGAGAAACGCGAAGGAAAAAGATTCTACTGGGGAAAGTATGCAGCTCAAAAGCACGACGTGAAGCGGATATTTTGTATCTTCCTGGACGTTAAGTTAGTTTCCATTCTTCCCTTTAATATTATTAGATTTATCTACTAATTTATCGTATTGCCTTCTTGTATTTACATATTCTGTTGTTAGCTCTCAATATCCAATGGTATTGCTTGGACTCCAGACAAAAAGACGCTTTATCACGTTGACAGCTTTGAAAAGTAAGTACTATTGAACTGCCAGAAAAACTTGAAAAAGTTATTTTGGCAATATGCGCTGGAATAGCCTTTTTTGACCAGGAGGATCAGTAATATTTCAAATCGCTTCACGTTAGAGATCACCTTAGATTATTTAACCGTAGATAAAAAGTCACCCCGAGATAAACATTTCTTATTACAGGTTTTGGTGAGTAGTATCGCTGAAACTGTATTTGTACGAGTTGCGCTGCATTTTGACGCCGAATACGCAAGGCAAGGCAAAACACAAAGAACGAGTAAAAACACCCAGCGATACGCGAACCAAAATGTCTAATAAGTTATCTATAATCCAGTTGCTTTAATTTATGTGCATTTCATATATGGTATTTCTTACTAGATACAGCCGTCCGATTGAACAGATTTTTTTCCGGTACAAAATGACCAACTGTTTAAAGATCAAGTGATATTTGTACTGGATTCGTGCGTTTTTTGTACCCTGCTTAATACAGATGGATAAAAATTCCAAATATTATTACGAGACAGTTAAATATTGCAAGTGTACTTTTTTTTTGATCCTATAGCAAAATCGACGCTTTTGATTATGACGAATTGAGCGGCACGATATTTAATAGGAGAAATGTTATAGTAGTGGACCATTCCCTTGGGGTAAGTTATTAGCTTAGACTTTGTTTTGAGACTCCAGCGAGCAACTTCATCTTTCCAAAACTATCTTCCAGTGTGCGGAAAACTCGACTATGGACGCCGCCATTTTTAAAATACCTCAGTAACCGGGCTAAGCACAAATTAAGCAAAGCTCAATTGGCAGGATTCATACTACCCGGAGCACAAACAGCTGTTGCTCTTGTTATCGTAAAAGTTTTTGGAGGTTTCATCCCATGAAAAGCTCGCCTCATGATAACTTCGCCCTCTACCGGTTAGCCCCCAATTCGTATCGTTACAGCGAAAGACCCAATGTGGATTTCGCGATTTTATGTTCCTTAATGGTGTATGACTTCGTCCTAAAAGGAACATATTTTCCTTGATGAAACGCCGGGGAAACCCGATGGAATGCCGGGAAATAACCTACGAGGTACTAGCACCTCATGTAAGAGTAGTAGCAGTGCCTCTAGTTGCTTCCTGGGAAGTAACTAGAGGCACTTAACCAGAGAAGATATGGGCAATGTAGAGGCACTTAACCAAAGAAGATATGGGCAATGTAGCTGGCATTTGGCTCGCATGCAGATGTCTGTTTTAAAATTTTGTTTTTGTTTCAGGCTCCAGATGGAATGACCATTGATGAAGATGGAATGTTATGGGTTGCTATGTACAACGGATGGAAGGCGAGTATTCATATGAAGATATGAGTGTTCTTTACTTTTAAGGCGACTGAAGGCGACTTAGCGTCCCAGAGTAGGCATAAAACATTTTGCTAAGAGCATAACTACTCGTCTCACAAAATCCGATGATTAATCCCCCTTCAGCTGCCTGAAAGTCAGATAAGGTCTGACTAGATGGGCCACTTTTTTCGATCATCTTTTTTTTTATACCATTATCAAGAATTACTTTATGTTTCCCCGTCGTTGAATTTAAAACGGTATATATATACATATTTTTGCAGGTGGCAAAGTTTAATCCTTGTAGTGGAGAATACTTGACCCACGTAGATCTTCCAATAGCTAAAGTTACCTCTTGCTGCTGGGCCGGCACCAATTATGATGAACTGTTAGTCACTAGTGAAAGGTTAGTCGTAGCTCAGGGCCTTGCAGAGTCGCTGAGGATTTGCGCTGAATCATGGAGTGATAAAGTAAAACGAGAAAGGGAAATTCTCACCAAAATGGTGTGAGGTATGAGAAGACCATTGTGAAAGGTCTTTGCTCCGACTCTTTTGCTTAGGTAGCAGTCTTAGACGTTTTTCTTGAACTCAGCGAGAGTCACGTGGACTGCATGCCGTATGAATGAAAGTCGCGTAAAGACGTGGGGCGAGAAGAATCAAAAATGTGACAGCATGGGAGGGAAGGGATAGGTTCTTTTTCTTCTTCATTGTCACTTCTCTTTCCTTTTATTTTCTTTTTTTTTCTTTTTATTCCTAACCTAAATCTTTCTCTAAATTTTAGTGCTCGCTTGACGCCAGAAGAAAAACAACAACAGCCCTTGGCAGGTTCGATTTTCCGAGTGAAAAATTTAGGTACCACAGGCTCACCAGCAGTTGCTTTCCATGGTTGAATACATGAAAGCTGTTTTACACATGAAAAGGAGTATAAATGGGGTTTTCATAAATTTTTTAAACCTTTCGAAAGGGATGAAGGTGTTTTAAGAAATTTTTTTTTTATTACAACTGAGTCTGTTAGTTACCAAAAAAAATTTGTTCACGAGTCCACGAAGTGTATTTAAAAGAATAGAAGAAACATTCTAGGGCTAGTATTATTAAAATTGGTCTTTTTAAGAAGTTTGTTTTGTCAGATATTTTTCAGCCATCGAAATTCGGTGGGGCTTGCAAACTGGCAACGGCGAGGAAATTTATAATAGAGTCAATTTGCATGTAATTACTAATAAAGTGGTGAATTCGAAGTCTGTATACAAGACCGTGCACTCCACTGTTCCTTCCGCGTGAAACGGACCTGCTTCCTGAAATCTAATTAGTTATCAGTCCGACTCTCGAAAAGCTTCTACGAACGTGACAAATGTTTCAAACCCTTCTTTCGCAAGATAGCTTCATCAAGAGGATCTCATTCGATATTTTCCCCTTTTGACTATTAGAAACTCAAGGATTCTTTAGTGAAGCCATTTTATCTTCATAATGGTTTTTGATTCTATTCAGATCCAGACTCTGTGCGGCGTGAATGCGCTTCATATGGGTACAGAGGAGTAATCACGTGGTCAGGACGCTAGGGGGTTGTCGCGAATGTTGGGAAGGTTGTTCTTTAGATCGTTTTTGGCGGGAATTACCACGCATTCACTCACGCGTTCTGCTAAGTGTCCATGTTTTCGTCATTTTATCTAATGTTGAAAGAAAACTTGTGTTTACATATGACTTTCTCATTACTAAAAGATGCGGAAGCGGGTCGAGAACTAAAAGGCTAGTCGGTTGGGGGTCAATGGAGTAAAAAGGTAACTGAATTACAACTTTTCAGGTAGGAAATTTCAAGAAGTTGTTTAGTTTGGTTGCTCGGTCGTCGATATTTGGGCAAATTCAATGGTTCAAAAGCTTCCTAAAATTTTTCCTGCGTTGTAAATGTATAAGTAAGTTTTACGTGAAGAAAACCATCGACAAAGTCTTGATTTTTGATGAATTCACCGATACTTCACTATTTGGATGCTAATTTCCTTAGAGGAGACAAGGTTGCTTCTCTGCACCTTAATTCTAGTGCCCGGTCTCTCTCAGTTCAGCCTCTTCAATATGGCGGATATTTCGGTCGTATCCGGGGACATCTGTACCAAGCTCGGAGAAGGACCAACTTGGGATGCAGCTACGCAAAAATTATTTTTTGTGGACGCCTTAGCCTACAGTGTGCATGTGTTAGATGTTGAAACGGGAAAGGTATTGAGAAAAACAAAAAAGTAGCTGCAAAGTTTACTTCGGAGGAAGTGATAGTTGCACGTCTAACAGCATAGAGGAGAGAAGTACTGGCATTTGATGCCGTAAGATGACTTTCTATTCTATAGTTTTACCCAAATAGAGTTTATTCCTGATGAGTTAAATGCGATAGAAGGGAGATGTACCTAAATACCCGGATTGATAAACTTCCGGGGCAGGAAAACCTCACCAATTTAATATAGTAATATCTTTTCCTTGTTATTAGGCTAAAAATTATCAGCTGGATGGAATAGTTGGATGTGGTAAGCGTCAATTGAATATCAGAAGTAAAAAATCATGTGATGTACTTTTTACCTTTTTAAGAGTTTATTTGGCCCACAACTCATACCCTAAATTGGAGACCATAGTAAAAAGTTTTAAAGCCAACGTTTTGGGTGTTAGCCCTTTGTCAGAGGAAGTAGAGGAGTTATGAGTTGTGTGTGGTTTGTAGAAAGATAGAGCTACGCTGGTAACGTAGAAAACAAAAAGATAAAGTAGTGTCATCTAGTATAATTAATCGGGTTGATTACATAAATTGACCACCGTAAAGAGTTTCAAGGCTGGTGTTTCGAGCGTTAGCCCTTCGTCAAAGTGAAAACCTTGAAATTCTTTACAGTGACCTATTTTCAGTGGCCAATTTACGTTATCAACTCTGTTGATAATACTCAATTACCCTGTTATACTCTCCCACTGATGCAGATCACAGTTCCTTAAGAAATTTACCCCCATTAAAAAAATTAATTTGTTGAATGGAAAGCATGCATTTGAAGATATTGTGGAGATTTATAAGATTGCCAATTTGAGAATATTAATTTAGCTCAAGAGTTTTGTTGACATGTACTGTAGAATGTTTGTTTGCTAATTACAGTTTGTTGATTGACAGATAAAGTTTTGAATTTTTGTTTGGTGATGGTGGTTATGATATAATATTTTGACTCTTGTCCCATGAAGGCCTTTGATTTAATTTTTTTCCACATTTTTTTCTTAGTTGTTCCCAGAAAGAGAGGTGGTTCTGTTATTCTGGCATGTGAGAGGACTGTAAGGTTTTTAGATCTTGAGGTAGGCTGAGTTTGGTACCATTTAGTTTTACCTTGTTCAAGATATTCTGAATGTGAACACTTGCAGTATGTTTAAGTATTTCTTTGATAATTTTTTACAGACTGGGCAGCAGGAAATAGTTGCTACAGTTGACGGTAAGTTTGTAAGTCTTAATTTCAATTTTGTTATGTAGTACACCCTAACATCAATATCCATAATCTCAATACTCATCTGTACACATCTCCTTTGGTATTAGCCAGGAGAATTTGTTCAACAATCAAAGCTTCTCAGATTGGTGATTATTTCCCTTATTCTCATGATCCAAATGGATGATTGAGCAAAACTACTGTTAGGTGAAATTAGGTGCAGGGTTTATATGAGGTATTAGTAGTGATTAAGAAGTGCACTAGAATTTTAGAATTTTTTTTCTAATGTGTTATCTGTTTTGCAGAAGATAAACCAGAAAATCATTTTAATGATGGAAAGTGTGATCCAGTGAGTAACCAGATTACTACAAAAGTTACTTAGCAGTACTTGAAATGTTGGTAGTTGTTAGAAATATTTGTTTAGATTATTTAAAAAAAGCTTAGGTATTGTTTAATGCAACAAAACTGCATTCTTAACCATGTTCAATTTACTCAAGTCTTTTATCTGAACATTTATCTTTTTGAACTGTGTCAAGGGGGCTGACAGCTAACAGTAGAAAGAACATTTATTTGGTTAACCCTTTAACTTCCCAATCAAATTTGCAATTCTCCTTACTATCAACCATACAATTCTTATAATGTTAGTTGAGAGAATTTAGTATTGGATCAACTCATTATCCCTAACTAATTTTTTTTTATTCTCATCACTTGTCTGCTTGATCAAATTGATATTGTAAGGAGAAATTCTGTCTTAGTCACTTTTATGAGGTAAAGGGTTAACTCAATCCCCTTACAGGGAAAACCTAAGGTCCACTGATTGGTTAAAACCATGGTCTCAGTCAGACCTTGTGTAAATAACCAACCCTTTGTGTTTTGCATACTTCGTTATCTATTGTGTAACTTGTAAATTTTGTGGGAGTTACAATTATCTTGAAACAGAGACAAATTTGTAGGGTGCAAGATGTCAGAAATTTCTGTTGGAAAATAATTTTCAGCAATTTCTTATTCGAGCAGAAGAATATCAAAGATTAAAGAAATGCAACATTTTCAAATTTTGTTACCTGGACAGTCATGAGGATGGTAGATAACTTGTAGTTAGACATTTCTAGTGCTCATGCAAGGCATAGTTTTGCAGATTACGGAAAATCTAAATACAAAGTAAAACATGCGAAATCTTTTTGCTTTATGTTTAAATGATAAGATACAGAAGGCTTACTATCCTGATGTGAAATATAAATCCTCTTTTTTTTTGCAAGGCAGGAAGATTTTGGGTTGGCACAAAAGGCCGGGAAACAGGTGCAGGAATTCTCCCTCCTGAGCAAGGGTCTCTGGTTAGTATGCATGATGCTGAATGCCTTCTAGTTAAAACTGAGTTAAAACTGGTGAATTTTTCTTTGGAATTAAATTTTTAATTCCAGAAGTCAGTGGCTGGAAGGGCAGTTAAGATTGTTTAATTGTTCATTTGCTTATTGGCCATTTGTAATAGATGTGTTATCATTATTTCCATTTCAAGGTCAAAGTATAAAACCCTCTAACCCCCAGAAGTGATTAACATGTAACTTTTCCCTTCACATGCACACATTAATGAGAATATTCAATCTTATCAGGTACATGTGGAAGTTATTATAATTCTTGACCTAACAACAAATTCTCGTGACTAACTTTCAAGGAAATGTGTAGCAGCAAGAGGGGAGAATTAACAATCAGATCTTAGGAGTTGAAGGGTTAATGCCATGTTGTGGCTGTAAGTGAATTACATAAGGAAATCTAAATTAGGCAAATATGATAATTTTTATTGAGTCCTAAGTGTGTTTTGCAATTTCAGTTTTCACTCAATGGTGACAGAAAGCTTACAAAGTGGATAGATAAGGTGCATAATTTTAATTGTGTATGTTAGAGATTTGTTATTACATCATGCATGCTAGGTGCACCATGCATCTCGGGTTTAGTTAGAGCATGATTTTGTTTGCATGGTGAATGTGTTAGTGAATCAAGTTAAGGAAGGTCGCATTCCATCATACCAAGCCAATTCTCACATGAAACAGGTAACCAATTTACAAAACCCTTTCCTTGAGGGGTGCCTAACATGTGCAATTTATACTGTGATGAATATTAAGTTAGTGTACAAAAGTGTTGTGTATAAAATCATCCATTTATTGCACTGCTGTGATCACAAACTTCATGAAACAACACATTTACCAGGAGACAAGTTCAGTGTTCCTTTTTCATGAGTTGAATCAATATTGTGAAGTAATGGACAGATTGATGCAAGGCAGCAAATTAACTTTAAAAGTTAATGGAAAAATTGATCAATTTTAATCATAGATATTTTTTTTACTAGATAACAATATCTAATGGCATGACATGGAGCCTGGATAAGAAGACATTTTATTACATAGACACAGTGACTAGGTATAGCCCTTTTAGTTTTTTTCCCAATTCAGTGTGTTTATATGACTATTTTTATGATAATATTAATTTTTCTGTAATGAAGTGTGTCTTATTGGTGCCATATATATCAAATTGAAGAACTGCAGTGCAGATTGATGGCATGACTGAAAATAATTTTTAATCCCTTCTATAGTAAAATTGATGCTTTTGATTATGATCATGAAACTGGGGCCATATCAAATCGCAGAACTGCAGTGCAGATTGATCCAGCGCTTGGGGTAAGCTTGAAGATTATGTGTCATGCACTGCGTGAAAAATGTTTAAAAATATGGGACAGAAAGGTGTTTCTTTGTCTTGTTGTGATGTGACCTTCTTACAAAGAAAAAATTATTAGTCCCTTTAAAGAATCAACCCTCAGAGTTCTACCAAAGAGCCAGAAAGACTTTTCAGAGAACAAGGTTGATAATTTGTGCCATGCATTTCACATACTGTCAGAACTGTTATCAGATTGGTCATATACCATCAATGTTGAGAGCCTCACAGGACGAAATCACATGTTTCCGTATTTCTGAAACGTGGCGGAAACATGCAACTCCATGTTTCCGTTATGTTTACGTAAAAGTGGTCCGGTTCCGTTGTATACGCAGCAACGGAAACGCTAGAAAACGTCACGAAACCGATAATGGAAACACAGGTTATCCGTCGTGTTTCTGGAACGGTTTAACATGTTTCTGCCACGTTTCCGTTTACGGATTCTTACAATTTTGTCCTGTGCCTTGTGTGAGGTTTAAAATTAATATGATAAGAATATAGAAGGAGACTTGGAAATGTTTAATGTCTCCAACCTGTTTGACCTACATGCACAGATCTCATGAAAACTGTTTCAACATTAATTCTTGTCTTTAAAGTAACTGTATGCAATGGACATTATGATTAATTTGTTGGGTTTTTTTTTAGTATCCAGATGGTATGACAATTGATTCAGAAGGAATGCTTTGGGTAGCCATGTATGATGGATGGAAAGTAAGCCAATCTTATACTCAACTATGTAGTAACAGAAGATAAAATATATATTTTTTTATCTATGATGATTATGTTATACGTGTACTTGTGGTCCTGACCTTTGATAAGATTAATGTACAATTGTTGTTAATTGTTCAAATGTATCTGAAATCAGTGGTCTCAGCCTTGAAGAAATGTTCACAAATGTAGATAATTTTAAGACAGTGGAAATTGTGAGATATCTTGACAAGGCAGGGGCAGGGGGGGAGGGAGGTGTTCATATACATCTGCCAGTAACATGAGGGAGGGGAGGGTATTCAATCATATACATCTGCAAATAACATGAGGTTTCTATATCTCTGTCCCTTTATATTTAAGCTAACAGGTCTTTCTGATTTGGATTTCAAACAGTTTTCTTTTATCAATGATGACTATAATGCTACTTCCAATAATTACCAGTACTGTACCCAGGTTTGGGGGCTTCTCATCAAGCTAAAATTGTAATTCTGTCTGTATTTGTTGTTTTTGCAACCAGTAATATTGTCTTTCTCATTCCTTTTTTAAAGGTAGTGAGTTTCAACCCAGTCTCTGGTGCAATGCTTAGAAAAGTAGATATGCCTGTTGCCAAGGTGACATCTTGTTGTTGGGGTGGACCAAATCTAGATGAACTATTTGTTACATGTGAAAGGTACAGCATCCAACCACTTCTTACATGAAATTATTTTAAAATTAAGGTACATATTAAATAAAGAGTGATGCACATGTATAATATTTTGCCATTCTCTATCTTCTGTAGAACTCTATTCTTTTCAAATTCTATTTATTTAGCTGAGACAATCACTAATCTTGCGTAGTACACACAACTGTGATATTTATTGAATTTATTTCTCTCCCTCTCTCCTACTGATAGAAAGTTCATTTCATGTAACATTTTTTTCTCTATTTAGCTTGAGGTTATCTCCAGAGGAAAGGAAATCTCAACCTCTGGCTGGTTCTGTATTCCGAATTAAGAATCTTGGGACAGGTGGATTACCAGCTAAAGCATTTGATGGTTGAAAAGAGTGCACTAATTTTTAAATATCTTATTCATCTGATTAAATGCCACCCTTGAATAAAGCCACTTTGACTAAATGCTTCATTTTAAAGAAGACATATTAATAAATGTGGCCCTCAAATAAATGTTGCATCATGATGTGGCATTTATTCGAATAAAATACTCAAAAATCACACAACAATCAATGATTCAATTGCAATTAGAAATTTTGAGTGAACCAGACACAAATCCTTTTGAATGCACCAGTCCTGATGTTGAGAAAGTATATCCAACATTAGTTCTGTATTCACTTTTTGTATTGCAGTAGTTATATTAACATGCAAATTGTGAAATTGAGAACAGAAGTAGAAAAGCATGGTGAGTTTCCTAGGGTTTCAGGGAAACCACATTATTTTACATTGAGAGGAGATATTCCACTTGATAAAGGAGTAATCACAATCATTTATTCAAAACTTTTGTGGCAAAATGAAACTCATTTGAGAGAGACTAAATTGTGCTAAACTAGACTTGTACATATGCAAATGAACACTCACATGTTGGAGTATAAATAATGCAATTTTAGTCCAGTTCATTGTTCAAAGGGTGCACATCTGGTTTGAATTTTTTAAAAAATTAACTAAAATTTTAAGGATATTAATGAAAAATTATGAAATAAATATTTAATTCAAATCCCCCTTCTCAAATCACTAATAAGTATGTAATTGGTTTTTAATCAAATTATAAATAACTGTGATTTGGCATCCCTTCAGTTTTCATGCATTAGGAGTCTTTACCCTTTAACCCCTGAGTGACTAGCATCTTATTTCTCCCAACAGTTTAACCCCTGCATCACACAGTAAGGTCATGAGAATAAAGGAAATGATCACCAACTAACTTTTCTCTTGATCAATAAACAAATTCTCCTTGTCAGCACCTTAGGAATTATATAGAGAATAGTATGGAGAATATGCATACTGATGTTAGGGTGTAAAGGGTTAAGTATCACATACACATACACAGACACATGATCAGTTTAACAACTTCTTTGTCACTCTCTAATCTGTGGAAGAAGCAGTGGAAAAGCCAATGCTTTCAAAGCTAGTTGTCTCACTCTTTCCGCTCTTGTTGCACACCTTTTTAATGTAAACCAGTCTGGTTACAATTAGAAACATTTGGAATTCACAATCCACCTTTAATCATATATCTTTTATTATCACAACATAACTTTGTTTCTGTACTCCAAAAATTCTAAGAACAATTAACTTGTCATAAAACTATTCAACAACAGTGGAAAATTAGCTTCTATATACATGCCTGGAAATTCATGTCTGAACTTATGTTTACATGTAAAAAAATCAGTTTATGACATGTTGGGAAAATAGCCTGGCATGTAATTTAACAAGGTGTTTTAATACTAATAATTTAGTTTGTGCTGGGTACCACTTAATTCTCATCTAAAAGATAACCAAGATAATTAGATAAAACATTTTTATTGTTTCTACCATCTCCAGCCTTCTCACTCATGAATGCTTACTTTTTTCAAGCTGTTACAACTTGAGACTTGGTGTTACTTGCTTGAAGCAAAACAAATTCTTATAGAAAAACATTAAATTATGCCACAGATCTGTTTGAAAATCATTGAAAGTTACCTAACCATACTATCTTCTGCAGATACTGTTAGTAAAATTAATCCATGTACAATGTGCATGTACTTAACTTACATTGTGGTTATTTGCCAATTGCATTGGCAAATATTCTAATGATGTAATGTTTTACAATTGAAAATAAGTGTTACTGCCTTGGAGCTATAGGCACTCCAAACATGAGAAAGCTAGTGGGTAAAACTCCCCTTAGGGTGAAAGCATCAACATTTCTTTTCTTGAAACAACAAACTAAAAAGACCTTCACAACATATTCAAACTATAGTCACATTAAATGTCTAATGACAACGTTTTAGAGAAATTAATTCTTGTATTCTTCTTTATCTTCATTTGGTGATTATGTCCAAGCAGAAAATCAATCACCAGTGATCATTCAGCTGAGTGATGGGGAATTTTTTTGCAGCAAGGCCACAAAATCTCTAGTTACTGGCAAGGGCACATTAGGGTCAATGTGAACGTCGAGAAACATCTTGCGTTCCCATGGTGGCATCAGGACACCAAGGGTGACTCGCATCTCTTGCACCTGTGAGCGAGTCACAGGTTTTGTGTCCCACTGCTTCATTAAGTTTGAATCCTGGCAACAGGTCAACTGAAAATTAAATATAAAAGTTGCAGTTAACAGACATTTTAATTTGGTGATGTTACAACACATGTATGTATGATAAATAAGTAATTAATTCTTAAGTTTTTTAAGTTATGCCCTCATAACAAAATCCAACGAAACAAAGCAGAACACAACACAAACACCACTAAACAAACAAACAAATTTCAATCTTTTTTTGACAGAGGGCTAAAATTCCCTAAGTCACTAAATCACTAGAAGACTAATTATTAGGATCCTCATTCTAAAGGACATTCCCAGAATTGTTCCATGGGATGTTCTTTGTTTGATTGATTATTTTTAAACACTTTGTCTCACATCTTGCCTCTTAGGTGCAGGTGTGATAGGATAGCTTCATGGTTGAGAACTGAAAACAGTTCTGAGTTACAGTTAACTGTGTAATACTATGTTACTTGATTACAAGTAGAGAAAAGACATTTATGGGTAAGGACACTTGCAGGTTAAATTATGGGTAGCTATGCGATATGACATGCGTAGTCAAGTACATCTGAAATTACATGCTTTCTGTAAATTTCAGAAAGGAAAAATCTTCATACCCCACAAAGTCCACACCACCCAAAGCAACAAGGGGGATTTCCATGGACTGTTATCTCTCCACGCACACCTGTCTCCCCACGCATCTCTACACTTCGTAGACAACGCAATGGGATTGGGAGGTAATAAGTGGTATCATTGCATGACGTCTGAATGCTGTATCCTCCTGGCAGCTTCTTTGCATCACCCCACTCTATCAGGGATGTGCCTGCAAAGTAGTGGTGACAGTTATTACTAGGAGGCAGTGTGACCAAGTAATTAGAGCGCTGGGCTTATAATTAATCTGCTGGTCCCAGTTCAAAGGGTTCCACCCTGCTACTCACTGGATTTGTCTGTGGTAAATGTGCCAAGTTCAACTCCTTGGCTGCACTTTGTGTTTAAAACCAACTGGTCTACTTCCTGTTAGATTCCATTTTTTAACAAAGTGCTTCTTCAATCATTCATTTGGACCCTGAAAAGCCCCACTAGGGTCATGGTCAATGAAGTATACATTCACACACATACATGTATAGGATCTTGTCCCTATTACGTTGCAACATTCACTAATCCATATCCTTGTAACATTTTACCAATAAGTTGGGTTCAACACGCTAAAAATTGTGACTGATTCAGTTAACAAAATGTTCACAGCTAAAAGTTTTGAGTTCAAAATTGGGAACTAGATTGTTCAAGGTAAAAATCAGTTTATTACAAAATTAAATCTTGTTGTAAATTTGTCTTGAAGAAAAGGTCAAACTTACAGAAACTGTTAATTTAAAAACCAAATGTTGCATACTTCAATTTATCAGCCTCATGAGCCAATTTGAGATCCCTTCGAAATTGTTTCACTTAAGAAAAATCTAATTAATGTCGTGAAAGTTGCATGTACATGTACTCTCTTCCCCCTTTTTGTTAATTTATTGTTCTAGCTTAAAATGAGATCAAAATGACTCTAAAAATGAAAAAATTAACCTACCCACAGCAAGTTGTGAAGACAAAAAGAGAATTCTCTTGTTTGTTAAAAGGCAAATGCCACCACTTCTCTGGCTAACATGCTTGAAATTTTCATCAGAGAACTGCACATGCGTGTAGTTCATGAAAGTGAACTGATTCAGAGCTTGAAAACTTTCCCCTTCATAGATCAGTCCTGCCAAGAGATCTCTATAACTCATATTTCCCTGTAGAGGAAAATAAAAGTAGAAAAGTGAAATTTAGAAATAATAACCTGTTTCTCCATAAGAGGCCCTATTTTGCTCACTAGAAGCTCATATGCTAACCTTACTTCACAAACCTTAAGAGACACAAATTGGCCCTGAACAGTGCGTTGAAGCTGATCCGCACTATGCCGCAATGTCCTTTGAAGAGTTGCTCCACTCATGTGTTTGGTGGTTAATGATGTCATAAGGCCTCTGGAAACTGGATCCAACATTGCATCTGTGAAGGCCTGTGGCTGAGTGACCACAGGAGGGGCAATGGTAGCTAAGAAATCCATGTCAACTGCAAATTAGAAAAAAAAAATAATATTGTCACCTTGGAATTTCATTGGTGCTTTGCATGCAGCTGTGAGCTTGATCTAAAGCTAGAATCATATGGACGCATCTTTCACAGTACCCTTTCACTTGCAAGATCTGAAAGCTAATTCTCTAAACTGGTGGCCATACAAACAGTTGTTGCCTACTCCTGAGAATTTGGTGTTTTATCAAGACACTAGCCCCGAGCTGATAATTCTCTTAATTCCCAATAACTATCTACTAGACATTTAATTAAAAATTACAAGGAGACTTAATATGTTGGTCACCCCTGGGAGTTGAGTGGTTAATGAGGGGCCTGAACAGGTAAATTGGGAATTAGACATTTGTCCATATTTTCCTTTGTAAACAGGAAGGAAACAAATTAAAAATGTGATAAGTACAGAGATCATTTGGGTAGAATTTGGGCTTGGTTTTTAAATGGTATTTATATCCTCCATAGACTCTAGCTGGTCTACCAGAACCAGCTTGGACAGCCAAATAAGAAAAGGGGAAAGATCACTTTTGCACACAATACTCATTGTTCAAACATCAAACGTTTTACAAAATTAGTAAAGAGATAAATACTTCTCTACCGATAGGAATAAATTCAACTTTCAGAATAGCCAAATTTTGTTCCCAACAAACTTTCACTTCACCAACACAGACGTAAAGTTCGCAACGACTATGGACTAATTATTTTGGCGAAATCTTTGATGCTTCAAATCTCTACAGCGTTAAGATAAATTAATCTAGCTAAGCTTCGATTCGCGTCAGTGACCCAGCTTGCTTCGATCTTAATAGGAAAAAAATAACATAATGAGGCACTAATATTAGAACAGAAGGAGATTTGTTCCATTGACCTAAGTGCAAATTTCCAATGAAATTTCCCTTGGAATTCCAGTCGAAAGATGAGTCCAAATCGAATTGACACCAAATGATATTTCTCTTTTAAAATAAGCGCAGGTTCGTATGGAAATAACTATCGCATGTTAAGGTTTTGGATCAAGGCGAAGTTCAATAACAATCAGTTGTTCCTGTCTAACCCAAGATATTGTGATATTTCCGACGTGTCTCACTTCGCTGCGTGACCACATGGATATTAACTACAGCGTAGGACAAACTACACGAACTTCGAGATTAAAGATTCATTTGCTGCAAGTTACCCATGTGATTTACGACTCAGACTAGGAGCCCAAGGTTTATAAGATCGTTTTTTAACCAGTTTATAGACAATTCAATACCAGTTGCAATATCATATTGCATCATGACGCTCGCAATTAGAAAGACAGCTTACTGGATCCAGTAGTGGCAAGGGAAGGACCGTCGAAGTTTGCATTGCTCTCAGCCATTTTCAGCAGAGGTATTTTGCACGGCAAAGGAACTTCTTTATCGTCTTCTGCAAATTCACTGCTACTCGAACTTCCACGTCTCTTACTGTCTGAGATTCGTTCGTAGCTCATGAGCGCTCCGATGAAATTGCCCCTCTGTGACGAGCGCGCAAAATGTTTCTTAGAAAGAATTGGAAACCCACGCGGCCGTTTCTCAGAAAAATTGAACAAACTGCTATTGTCCAGGGTGGGAAGGGGAGAAATTAAATCCTCACAAGCTTCTTTATTCATAAAGTTTATCCAAACATTATCATTAATGTTTTTCTTTCAAGTAGGAAAAGCTTTTCAAGTTTTAAGAACGCTTGATTTAAGGATTTCGCAGCTTTCTGAAATCCAGCTCACCCTCGAGGAAACTGATAATTCGACCTGACTGGGGAGTGGAAAGGTAAATCTTTCAAGAAAAAATAAAAGGAAACCAAATACACATGTAAGAACCTTCAAAATGTGAAGATCAAATGTCCTTTCCAGTGTCAAGTTAGCCTGATGGTCTCCTAATCGTAAAAGCAAGTCGAAGCATATTAATCAATATTTGCTGCTTTTAATTTGGATTTGTTCAACTTGAATGAATCATCGAAGCCGGCGATGTGGAACAAAGATCGATAGATACCCAGGTTGTATTGGGTCAAATTCTAAGAATTCAATTATTTTTCTACTAATTCGGATAGCCCGGCAATTGAAGAAAACATTCTCACAGTTTGAAAAGCGGTGAAGGAAATAAATATAAGTTAAAGATTTTCATTAAGAGGTTGATCAAAGCCCTCACTCTGTGTTTTATACTCAAAAGCTGGCTCGACTATTAACCTTCTGCGGACGTTTCAGGCAAGCATTCAGTCGTAATATCGAATACTTATGAACTTTAAACTCACCAGGAGAGGCCATAGCTTCAAGTTGAATGGGAATGTCCTCAGACACCACTTTAGAACCAACAAGTTCCTCTTTAACGGTGTTTTTAAGCCGTTTGAAGCTCATGCTAACAGAGCGATCCGCCGACTATCTTTAATATAAGGAACGGAGAATGGGGGAACGGGGATTGGGGAATGGGGAATGGAAAAAAAACGAAATTCTTGGAAAAGGTCAGGAATTTTTATGAGCATAGACACGTCCGTGATATTCAGTATCAACGCCTCTTCAGATTAAGGTCTCAATGGAGTAAACCTTAAGCTGTAAAATAGCATAAAATAAACTAGCCGTTAATTAAGCGTAAAACGTGTCAAATTTTAACCGTTGGCCGTAAAAGCCGTGACCTTATTGGAACCCTCGTGTTAGAGCGAATTATAAAAGCTCGTAAATCTTTCGATGAACTCGGTAATAAAAAGCCCTATTTTAAATTCTGTACTGAAATGAGTAAAACAGTAAGGTCCGATTTTGTTTTTTCGAAAAACTTTACCTTGCTCTCATAATTCGAGGAAATTGCTGAAACAAATGCTTTAGTTAAGAAGCGCCATGCGCCAGAATAATATCGCTTTGGGTTAATGAAATGCAGAATGGTTTTGTTTGAAGAAAACGTCTGCAAAGTTTTTAATTAAGCAAATACTATAACTCGAGCCAACGCGTACAAATTATTTCAGTATTTATTTATTCTTGAGTCTAAGGTCCAACGACCGACCTGATTAAGTCGCGATTAAAAAACATTGTGCTCCGTTCCGCTTGATCACGCTCAGAGCCCAAGTTACACTCTAGAGGAGACATGGCGGAGAATTTATTTAGTGGTTCGTCTTTCCGCCTGATTGGTCTTGACGTAATGGCAGTATGCACAGCTCTCCAATAACAAAGATGTGTTAGCAGCACTTTATCAATAAAGGGCAAAATTACTGAGCGCTGATTGGTTGAGAGAGAGGGCATTTTTTCTTAATCGAGGGCATTTTTAGTAATCAAGAGAGGGCATGATTACCTGTTAATGATTGGCTAATCCGTTGCATAGCAACCGTTCGTTATCTTGAAATTTGTTAAAAATAGACTGCACGCGTGATTTTCCTTCGTATAAATTTTGCCCTTTATTGATAAACAAGTAATCCCATGAGACCTCGTACTATTAAGGATTAATTGCACTTGAGTTTTCAAAATTTTCCAAATTGCCCTCGTCGCTTCGCGACTCGGGCAATTTTGGAAAATTTTGAAAACTCTCGTGCAATTAATCCTTAATAGTACTTGGCCTCATGTGATTACATATACTAAGCAAGCTTTCAACAATTCTAAACCCGTCAAATTCCCCCCTCCCGAAACAGCTTCCCCCAAATGTGAGGAAACCAATTGTTGATCAATATTTGGCAAGAACCCGGCGAGGAGGGCAATTTTTGTGTGGGGCTCTCCGACAAAATTTAACTCTAAGGCGTAAAAAGGATTAATCCTAAAAAAAAATTATGTTAGGTTTAATGGGAAAAAATTAACCGTAAAATTGCCAAACTTTTAACCGTTAGCTGTAAAAACCATCACCCCATTGAGACTCAAACCCTCTTGTAAATGCAAGAGTGCAGAACCAGTGAACAATAAAAGGTTATGAGGCCAGATAAGGAAAATAGCCCAAAGGGGTTGAAGAAGAACAGACTTGAGGTCCACAAAAAGGAACAAGGGAAATAATTATTATACTGTACTCTGCGATCGTTCCTAAGTTGATGAAACGAATGATTGACTCACTTGGCGGTGCATTTGGTTGTGGAGGAATTGACATTTCCTCGTACAGAGCTGTAGATTCTGCGAGTTCCTCAGCCAAAGAATTTCTCAGCTTTTTGAAGTTCATCATTTTCACTTTATGAATAATTTTTAGCTGTAGTAGTTCACTTTAGTTGGCAGCACTCAGCAATGCTTCTCTCATGAAAAAAATGCGATGACTATTTGATACAGCACTCTCACGAGGGACTAGTGAAGACTTTCTGTTAACAATTTCAGTACTTTTTCACCCGTAAAGGAAATGAGAAGTAGGGAAAAATAGCACATAGAGGAAGAAATTTGATAGAACCAAAATTCTAAGAGAAAGCAAATATTTACAATTTGTGTTATACATTGTTGAGAATTGATCTTTAGATCGAGGTAGTAAAAGAGTTAAAACCATCTGATCCCCCCCACCCCCTCAAATATAAAGACTAGTCCCTAACAGTGACCGATAAGTAATTTCTTACTACAATGTTAATGCATTCTCAAGTATAAGGTAACAGTGATATTAAAGTGAAGTTAAACGTCAGCTAGAGGTCACTTTTAGACGAAGCATTAAATTCCATCGGAAATTTCGCTTGAGTTCTTGGGAGAGAAAAGCTGAACCCTTAGTTATGTGTCTTGGTGACGGAAATATGAAAAAAACTCCATTTAGATGGAATTAAATTTTTCGTCGAGCACGTTTACTAAAATTCAGATGTTTCTTGAGTTGATAATATTCTACTTGTAATCATTCTACTGTATCAGCCATGACTCAAATATTTTTCTTTAGATAAACGGGACGAAAGCTTCGGAAAATCTTGTACAGTTTTAAAATAATTGACCAAAACAATTTTAATTATGGTCCGACGCCAACGGAAATTTGCCCAGCTGTTGAAATAATATACTACGATCAAGTTTGCCATTAGCGACAAAAATTGCTGACTTACTATTAGCAATCCATTGACGACTTTGAGAACTGTAGCCGGCAAAAGTCTTTTGGAAAGAAAGTAATTCGAAAATTACAGTGGAACATGACAGTTTCCATAGAGCGCGCGTGAAGACCTTTATGCTTGGTTGCCATCATTAAAATATTTCTGTGTAAGTGACGGCTTAGAGAGCGAGTGTTCAGACACATGCTTGCAATTGTTGGTAATCCCAGCGTTAAATTATCCTTTTCAAAAGGTTATCCATTTTTCAACTCGAATTAAGCTTAAATTACGTCAGTGTAGGCTAAAACGAGAAAAAGAACTTTAAAATCAAAACCCCTACGACAAAAATTGCTGACTTACTATTAGTAATCCATTGACGAATTTGAGAACTGTAGCCGGTAAAAGTCTTTTGGAGAGAGAGTAATTCGCAAATTACAGTGAAACACGATAGTTTCCATAGAACGAGCGTAAAGACCATTGTGCTTGGTTGCCATCATTATAGGTTTCTGTGTAAGTGACGGCTTTAAGAACGAGTGTTCATACACATGCTTGCAGTTGTTTGTGGTCACAGCGTTAAATTATCCTTTTTGAAAGGTTATCCATTTTAAACTCGAATCAAGCTTAAATTATGGCAGTGTAGGCTAGAACGAGAAAAAAACTGTCAAATCAAAAACCCTTACGGCGTTGACGAGAGGTCAGCGTGTAGGGCGCGCATTGTGGAGGTCCTGGGTTCGAATTTCGCTCATACTTGTTACCGGAGTTTGAAGTAGGGACCATAGCAAACATTCATTCCAGCTAGTCAGAGATGGGAAATCTAGATTTTGTTTCACACGCGTTCGAGAGAGCATGCTTCAGTTCCCTGAAATTCAGTTATACAAGGACTACGCCCAAGAACACCATTTTCGAAAGGATATGTATCTTTTGAAATTTCAAATCGCAAACCGTTCGATTGCAGATTTTAGGGTTACTTTTTAATTTTTAACAAACGAATGACTGGGTTTCTCGGTTATCCTTCTTCATTAAATTATACCTTGATAGTTCAAATCATGGTAGATGGCCTGACCACACAGGAGATACGGAGATAAAAGATTTCCTTTCCTTTGAAACTCATACCTGACAATAACTTCTGGATGATTTTTAATGTATTCAAAACTAAGTAATTTGTTTACAAATTTTTTCTTTACCAGTTTAAACAAAAGATACTCTGTTGGAAAACAAGCATAAAATTGATTGTTTTCGATGACTACCTATCTGAATAGTATAATTCACATCTCATAGGCGTCCAAAAGAAATTTTAAAAAATTATATATCTGACCTCAATTATCCTAACCATGAGCAATGACATCATGGAATCCGTAACTTTTTCCTAAGACGAGACGCAGCCTTTACGCATATAAATCCTTCCTTACAAGTCTTGGTTCCTAAATCAGCATATGTTGAACTCGAACGACCCTCTTCAGGTAAACACATCGTTCCAGGTCCATCGCAAGTCATTCGGCAGCATTTCAGCCCCCTTGCATCACACATTGTTGCTTCAGGGACAAGATCATGATGGGGCTTACACTGAGGGGAAACCAGTTGGCAAGACGACAGAGCCCCTCTATGGTCGCACTCGCAGTGGTCACAACCTGTGAAAATTATTCCTGTTATAATCATTCAATTAACTCACGGGAGGCTTCCAACAATACTGATTTTAGCAGTCTGTAGGGTGCGTGTTAGATATGGGGACATTGTATTAGCTAACCGTAAAGTCTCTGTGGCTCAGCGGTAGAGCTCTTGAATCCTCCATTCAAATTTTCTTGAGTCAAGCAATTAAGGCCCAAATTGTATAGTTAACACAACCGACGCAAGTTCTGGTCGAATTTACTATAGATTTCTCTAGCTGTGGCTCAGCGGTACAGCGCCGGAGCACGGACTGAATCCGAAGTTCTTAAGTTCGATTCCTCATGGGGACTCAAAATTTTCCCTTTGTCCCACGCTCTAGATAAGAGAAAAAATTATCTTCTTAATGACTCATTACAAGATATCCTACATAAACTGAGCAGTTTATAAACTCTTGCTCATAAGTACACGTGCTTTAGGTTGAAACCGTCAAAGCCCCAAGAGATGGTTTCTGTGAGAGAAATCATCGGTAGAAGTTTCCTTTATATTCTTTCAATGGTTGTAAGTTACGTGTGCAGAATGCGCTACACTAGGGTCACTCAAGCGCGCAAGCACTAACCTTTCACAGAGAGAATTGTGTGAAGCAACGGCAAAAGGCAAACTAGTGTACGAGCTGTCATCTTTCGCAGAGCGTCAAACCGCATCAAAAGGCACAGAACAAAATCAATTCAGCTTTTTCCTATTCCTAGAATACAATCAGCAATATTGTTGACACTTTGCCGTTGAGATGGCAATATTCTGGTGTAGCAGGAGGAAGAAGACCCTTGGAATGGGGCGAAAACTCCGTGGGAACGAAATTGGTCCTTTCGGTTTGATTCTCTCGGGTTTTCACGAGAGATTGTATTGTACATGTTGTAGTAGAAAAAAAAAGAAAAAAAAAAAGAAGAAGAAGAAGTAGAGAAAATAAAAGGGAAACAAGGAAAAGAGGGGTCCAGCCTAAGCCAAGACTGTGAGTGTTCTTGGCTTGGGTCTTGGCTGTCTTGGACCTTGGACTGTGAGCCCATGTGCACAGAGAGACACTCCCAGATCTCGCTCGAACAATGAAGTAAAAGAGAGGGCTGGAAAGGTAGAATTTCCCTAAAGTGTGGCGTACGGCTGTGTGTAATAGTAGCAGCAGGTATTTCAACTTATGCCTCGTTTTCGTATTTATACCAGCAGTGACACCTGCTAACTGAAATCACTGTCGAAGGTTTTTCTATTTGTAATAAAATCCAATGAAAAATTCTTAAGAAAGCTTAATATATAAGGATTGATAAAGTAATTTTTCCAAACGTTATTTGAAGTTTATTGGGTTGGATTAGCCCTAATTAAAATTATGGAACATAGCAGAGTTCAACCTGTCATAGTCTCAACAACTCGTTTTATTTTGGCTCGTTGTTCTTAGAAAATCAGCTGGATAATGGAATAAAAGTTAAAAATCTTACCTTACTTCTTGCTTGCTTTTTCTTTGTCGAAATGTTTTAAGAGTATAAAGTACAGTATGAAGCGTGATGGCGAAATTTTCACCGACGAATCGTAGTGCTTTTGAACGGCGCTTTGCCTCTGCTTCAGGTAAATAGACAGATAAATTTTTAACGAATTAACGTTGAATTCGATTTGTGACAGGTGTTCATGTGCTTATTCGAAAAACCTCAGCTTATTAATGATCAAATGCAGGCGTTGTTATGAGGAGTTAGTGTTTCACCCAATCAGAGATGTGCAAGTCACTTTTGTGTAGACGGAAAATTTTCAGTAGGAATGAGGAGTATGTAACATCTGCTTGTAAGCCCCTAACTGACATTCAAAATCACAAAAAGAAACGAGGGAGAAAATTTTTATAGAGAATGTTGTTGTTCGATGTGGTTTTGTAGAAAAGTGACCGTTCAATCATTTGTGTCATCATGAGACTCAGGCTACAACAGATAGAAAAGGGCTACTCAAATGTTTCGACTTCTTTAAAAAAAAGCGCTATGTTTGGATGTTATTAAGGCAGTTGTGTTTGAAGAAGGAAAATGTCTTTTGATCATTTCAAAATTGTAGAATAAAGGACAAATTCTGAGTCCTGGTGAGGAATCGAACCTCAGAAGATCGAATTCCGTGCTCCGATGCTCTACCACTACTCTACCACTGAGCCACAGGGAGCAGCTGGGTCATTTCATAGGTGACACGCGTCCTGCATACTGCTGGGATCAGTAATGTCGAATGCGTCATGAGCGTAAACAAGAATACGGAAGATGGTAAATTTTGAGCTTGGTAAGATATAGAAAAAGATGTTTTTTTGTATTTTCAAAATCGCGAAACAAAGAAGAAAATCTGATTACCCATCAGAATTTGAACCTCAGGGGATCGTATTCCGCTCTCCAATGCGCTACCACAGCGACAGAAAAACTATATTGTGAACTAAGCCAGCTGCGTTGCTGTATTTATTTATCAACCTCGGCCACAACATGAAACGATGTAAATACCTCAGGAAAAATCATAACTTAGCACATAACAGCCTGAACAATGAAAACAACGAAAGAATGGTGATTTGGACCCATGACCGCTCTGTGATACTTGTGCAGTGCTCTTGGTTCTAGACCCTTCTCTTACTAGCCTGCATGCTCACGTGCCTGCAAATGAAAATTCTAGACATTGTTATTAACCATGTTGTCGAGACCAGAGAGGGTAAATTACGCGAATGTAAAAAATGTAGCAGTTAGCCGCGCCATTTATGAAAGAAGTCTGTTCGTTCGTTATGAATATACGCTGTAATGTGTTCATCTATCTCGCTTACTTAAAACTTAACCAGTGATAAGCTGCCATTTGGTGCGATATCTCAGTGAATTGGTGAGAACGCCACATTACCATCCAATGTAACAGTACTAAGTAGAGTACAAACAATGCGCGAATCAAGTGGAAATATATGAACGATAGCCTCTATCTGTACCAAGATGTGATCAGTTTTCCGAGATCGAAGCTCGTGAAAAACTGTAACGTCCAAGGAGAAATATACGAGCATATTTCCGCACAAAATGAAAAATAAATATTTGCCCTCTTCTGTAACAAACATAAAACGCTCTCTCATCTTGAATAAAGTTCGAAACGAATACTTATCTTAAGGTTTGAAAATTTGGGAATATCGCTTGGGTGATATTCTCGTATATCACTTAGTTTCAGCTGGGGATAATCGGTCACGTGCTGCGCTTAGACCAATCGCGCGCGAGCAAATTATTTATTGTAAAGTTGCCTGTTTCGTATTGTAGTAAAAAACCGGTTTAACCGGTCGGCTGCGCGCGTTACGCTTCTCAATCTGCCTCGTTTTTCTCACTTTTAAGAAATGCGTATAAACTAAAGCAGCTGGATAATAAATAATTACTTAGACGTTTTGGTCTGCAGATCGCTGAATTTTTTACTCATAGTTAGGGCTCATCAGAATACGGCAAAACTCGTAAAAATACTCAATGATATTACACCTCAAAACGTCTAATAAGATACAAATATATTGCAAGATGATTTTGGTTCGGACCCCGTTCGACCCTAAATTTTATTCAAGTTTTAAAATCTCATCAGCTTATAGGTTGCGTAAATATGATTGCTATGACCTTTGCCCTGTCAAATTTTTCTCTAAAATTTCTCTTGCTTCCCCTTCCTTTATTGAATATTTGATCAAAATAATTGTAATGTACTCTTGAGCGCAATACATATGCAAACATTTACAGACTATACCTGAAATGATTTTGAAGAGAAATCCCGCAGTTAGTTCATTCAAATCGCATTACCAATGTGACAAAAAAAAAATAATAATATAAAATAATACTGAGCCACAGAGAAAAAGAGGAAAAGAGAGAAAGAAAGTGAAAAGTAGCTGAGTTTTTAAACTGACGCCAACTTAATGATTAAAAATAAGGATAAGAAATATTTACTTTCTGATACAATTCTTTCTCACGTGTAAGTTTTCTTTCGTACGTGGACAGGCGGGGGTCAACTTCATCTCATGTTGTGTAATCAGTAATAAGTTTTATTTTTTGTTTTTGCTTCCGTTGAACCAAGAAGCTCACGTTTTAAAACACGTTCAGTTTGTCATTAAGTTTAAAAATAGCCGCAGCTGGAGATGAAAAACACTGAGGTGGTTTGCGCGATCTAACGTCAGCTAAATTACCTGCGCGTGATATTTTCCATTCCCGACACAAACCTTCCAATCCATGAAACATCGTCTCCGAAAAGAATAGTTTATTACTTTCGAGACAATATACAACTTAATGCTTTGCCATTTTTGTTTTCTTTTGTTCAGTATTCTTTTGATTTGTTTCTCTGTTTCATATTGCTCTGTCTGTCTCACGTTTTAACATAACATTAGCAGAAATTGGCAGTGAGGGGGTGCTATCAGCAGAGATTTCGTTACATAACCTTTTACCAAACTGCTTTCAGCTTATTATTAATCGTGTAATCATTAACAAACGCGTGTTAAAGCCGGTTTCTTTGAGTGTTTTGTTTTATGAAAAGGATAAATGAAAAGTATACATTTATTCGACGGTATATGAAATAGCGCTTATATTACAAAGACGAACTGAGTTTCGCCCCATGTTGTGGGAAATATTGAATTACTTGCTCGCGATAAGGCCAAAGAGCTAAAGACGAGTGAGAATGAAAATTGTTTTCAGCAAAACAATGCTACAATCAGTCGCTGTAACACGGAACGTATGTGTTATATAACAAGGTAATGGTGGAACTCACGTGTAAAGTACACCTGTCCATTGCCCGTTGCTTCCTGATAGAGAGAAATAAAAAGGATTCATAAACACTACGAGCTTTAAATATCAAGAATCATGCTAAGACCAGCTCTAGACGATCGTCGCATTGAAAGTATTTAGGTTTTATCAGAGCATTTTCCAGAAATGTTTACTTCTACCAACGGTACCCGTATTGTCTTGACCAAAACTAAAGAAGTCTACTCCAGTCCAGAGAGTAAAGATGCAGAGAACCGCACACAGCGGTCATCTTCTAATCTAATTCCGAACTATGGAGGCCTTCCAGAATCGAAGATGTTTCCACCTTTCTTGAGATACGCAAAAAGCACAGATTGCGGTAGCTACGCGAACAGAGGGAAATATTTAGGAGGAGAATTCGCCGATTTCGAGAACGCAGCTCAGGTAGTAACCTACGCACATAGCATGGGAAGAGGCTTCAAAACCTCAGGCGCTAAGTATCTCGAGAAAACAGATGAGGTAACAGAAAAACCGTCAGAGAAAGAAATGAAGGAAGATTCATACGACGAAGATGATACAAATAACGGAAAAGAGGGAAAGGAGAGCTACTGGGAACGGCGAAGGAAAAACAATGCCTCGGCGAAAAAGTCGCGTGATGCAAGGAAATTTCGTGAACTGCAAACGCAATTAAAAGCGGCTTTCCTTGAGAGAGAGAACTTGCGAATGCGTACAGAGCTTATGATCATCCTAAAAGAAAACGCTTGTTTGAAACGAGTTTTATGCGCCAAAATGACATGATGGATACGTGTTACTATGTTTTGGTATTCTTGCGAAAAAAAAAGGATTTGCGATTGTGTTTTTTTTTGTCTTTATTAATGTTTACATAAAACTAGGTTGATATGTTGCGATGTAATGCTATGCGAGATAGCAGTTTGTATATTGTTAACCTTCACCAAACTGCGTTCAAAATGTCAGTTTTAAACGCTTTGATTTATTCAAAATTCTTCATTAAACTTGAAATAACATGCTTGTTTTGCGGTCTTTCTTATGTGTATTTCGTAACTTCGCGATAGCAAACTTGGGAGGGGAAGAAGGATGGGAAGGGGTGGAACTTTCCACCGATATTAGAAAAACAATCTAAAAGAAGCTGCAACGAATTTTCAAGGGATTAGACAGATTTAACAACTGTGTCTGTCAACAAAGTTTCGAAACAAATATGGATACAATTTCGCAAATTTGAAAGGCTCAAAATCGTCCAGAATTCTGTGGAAATTTCGCGAAATGAGTCAGAAAACGCTGTATTCGTCAAATGAATCGCTTTCAAACGAAAGGACGACCGCGCAAAGTCAATATGAACATTGAAAATAATCGCAAAAATCTGAGCCTTCAATAAGCTTCGAAAGTGTGTGAACTCAACCTGAAAACAGACAAAATCTTCAAATCACGTGCGAACATTTTCACCACTTATTAGTTATAACCGATGCCATTTTTGTGGCATTGTTATTCATGATCCTGTTTTTGAATAAATAATGAAAGGAAAGCTTTTGTTTAGTCTATGCCGGTGAAATTCGAACTTCTTGATCATATTTAACCTTGAAACAGGCTAAGAGATAGCCCTTTGTTAGAGTCATTTCAGGGTGTTTATGACTTCGAAAAAAAATATATGAACCTGCTGAATCTGCTAAAGTTTTAAATAAAAATGTGATAGTAAAATGCTTTTAAGAGTAAAATGCTTGTGGTATATGTTTCCGCTTTCGTGACATCTCACGTCCTATAAAAACGGAAGACAATTCATAGATCACTTCTCGTTTAAACATCTGCAAAACTATACGATAAATTTGCACCAAATTATGAAAAAAATTATTCTGAATAAGTAGTTGATGAGATTTTTCAGCGTCGGGCTAACATTTCATCTGAAGGAAAGAAAAAATTGTAAAATACTCCTCTCTGTACGTTCGAGATTTAAAGGAGGAGGAGAGGGAAGTCACGTGATTCATCTTCATCGAACTTTCCAATGTCTCCATATTTTTCCCAAATTAAGACATTTTTTTTTAGATTAATTCCATAAATTTCTATAGACCATAAACACAAACAAGTCAATCCTAGCACTTTTTAAACCGTTCTTATGTTCGTGACAAGGTTCCAAAATTTCACCTTCAATAAATGTCTTTAAGACTGAACAAAGGCACAGCGTATGCCCTAGATGCAGCTCCATACCAGCTCTGTCTGAGGTTCAAATCTGACTATGTATGCCATTTCGCTCAGCCCTGTTCTCACGGTTCCAGGAGGATTTCTCTCCTTTTCCAATTTGGCATTTTCCATTTATGGGCATTGAAGATTTTTCCCATAGGTTACTCAATAGGCTGGCAAGAAAGTTTGTTTACGAATTCTTACACAATGCTCGTAGCAACTTCACTAGGTTCAATTAGTAAGCACAGGACTGCTATTTAGTCCTGTTATAATTTTTATTATTGACATTCAGTCAAAGATACTGTACAGGAAAACACAAGTGCTCTTAAATTAACAATTGTAATCATCCCAAAAGACAACATAATTGCAGCGAGAGAGTAAACATTGTTATTAACAGTAATGGCTTAGTGGCATTTCAAAGTTATTTAGATCTCTTGCTGTCTATTTTGAAAAGTTTATTGACTAATAAAGATGATAAAATAAAAGAGCTTCAAGTTCCGCTATCTAAAAAAGTCTGTAAAATGGTCAGGTCATATGTCATGTAGAAGTCATGTCATAAAATTTCCTCTCTGGCTAGTGAATAATTAAATATATTTGTAGTGTTCATGATTGCAATTTCCTGTGAAGGAAATGACTGCTGGAAGATAAGTAAAGTCGGTTCTGTCAGCTGCTTCTTATTACAAACGCTTGTACAACAAAGGTAACTGAATGTATCGATCATTCTTTTTCTAAGTAATTATAGTATCTATTTTCAGCAACAATCCTAATGTAACAACAAATTATTTTCAACTTTTTTCGTTTCGAAAATCAAGCATTTTGCAAAAGTATATATATTTTTTCATATTACTGAGATCACGGGCTGGTATTCATGATGTGTAAGTGGTGACACTTGAGATAAGTACAATACTAAAAGCCGACCAGGAATTCTCCATCTCCTAAGTACACAATGTGATAGAAATGATTGACGATTTTTTCATTAATCAGGCAGAAAAACTCAGGGACGTCCTATATTTCTCAAACAAGGAAACCAGAAAAGAACAGATTATTTTGGAACAAATGCGATTCGAATTCATGTACGAATGATCTTTACACTACAAGTTTGGAGCAAAGGTGTGAAGTTTAATATTGATACCACTTTGACTTTTAAAGTAGTTAGCATTCTCAACACCATGCCGATATGGTTTCCTATTGGCTCTCCTACTTGGAAATATGTTTTACTCCATAATGAATGTTGTTCATTCTCCAGAAGTAAAGACCTGGGTTGAGCGAAGAGGAAGAGTATAGAAGAACTAAGCATACTCTATTAATTGCAATTAAATTTGACTTGGAGCTAAGACTAATGATAAAACTTAAAACAAGTGGCAGAAACAAGAAAGTAAATAGCAGTAAGATGTACCATGTGGTGGCCACAGATTTCTTGTATTTTGCCAAGTCGATGGCCGTTCAGCCAAAATTCTGTAGCGTTTCGTTTGCCTGAACTTGCCGCTGGTGAATACGAATAATTTGATAAACTTTGAAGTACGAAAACGACGTTATAAAATAACAAGAGAGTACTTCGATGGTAATCAACGACACAACAACCGTTGGACGCCAATGAATCCGAGCCAGTACAAGAGGAATGGAGATGAGCAACATGACTCTTACGATGATACCACCTCGACGTAAAGTAATCAAAGCTCTTCGAGACATGTACAGCCATCTCTCAGTAGACATGAATGCCACCAAAAAACCGTGATGGATATAAAGGATATGGTGATACCACTGTTGACTGTGTCCATGGTTCTAAATTTCTCCATGTTGATAATTCCTGTACGAGGACATTCCAGATATACAATGGTGGACGTTATATACACCGGCTGAGCTATGAGCCCTGTGCACAAGCCAGTCAGGGCTAACCCACTAAAAATGATGGGAAAAGGTGTTCGTGAAAAATTTTTCTTCCAAATTGCCGTCAAGATTAGGAGATTTTCAAGGACTGCTATCACTGACAATACTGCGATGAGTGTTGATATTGTGATATCCAGATGGCATGAAGCGAAAGATAGACTTTGAGGAAGCGAGGTCGTGTTGTTATTGCACATGAGGTTAGCTTGATAATTTTCTCTGGGTTGAGCTTGGCGAAGCAGTCAATAGAACAGGCACCCTCTCTTGTTTAGAGAATATGTAGAAGCTTTTTTGTTTTTTGACAAACTCTTGAAAAGGAGGTGGATAACAAACATTAACAATGGAAAGAACTAATACATTCTTGTAAGGACTCATCCGGTGCCAATTTAATATTTTTCCTTCAAGAGTTTTCATGTCAGAAAAGCAATTTTCTGTAATCAAAATTTGCAAGATATCTCAAAGGGTTCTTTGTAAGACTGCTGTTAAGCTTTCCCTGCACTGTCTATCAGCTTCATTTTAATCCTGTATTGCGATCATCTCTATTTTTAGGGCAGAAATGTTTTTTTGCCTTGACATCAAACTTACTCCTTTCAAATAATTGTTGAGAGACAAGTATTTTTAAAATTGACAACTCTCTAAGTCATTCTTTCATGCTAATTTTTTAAATTAATTCTTAGTGATATCGATCGATGGTCTGCAAACGCTAAGTCTATGAAAGATGTATCTTTGTGGTGCATGTATTTTGAAATACGTGCATCTATAGAGTCTTCTTACTTTTTCTCTACAGAAGCAAATATTTTTTTAATTAATCATTAAGAATCAAACATTTTCCTACCAATTTCATATAAAGTTAAAAATGATGCTCTGTTTTGAAAACCAAATATTTCAAAGTGCTTAGCGTAATGTTCCGTTCTGAAGGCAAGTGCACGCTAAAATAACAGGCTCTGACAAACAATAACTCTAATCTGGCGTTTTTTAATGAATAAATAATTTATCCTTTTTTTAAGTTTATGGATGAAATACATATATCGTCAAAGCTTTCCCAGTGGAGAGCAAGCTTTTCTTTCTCAGGAAACTAATTAAGGAAATTGAAATTCGGCTAGTTGTTATTTGAGGAAGAAATATTAAGCAAGGATGGTTTAGATTCACTTGGAATAACGTTTGCAAACGGAAAAAAAGACATGTCTTTGATGGAAGGAAAGTTCGTTGACAGATTAGTTGAGTGTCGTCTAGATGCGTTATCGGTTGGTATCGAAACTGATGGAAAATACACGGGATAAAATTTTTTAAATTTTTTGAAAATTTGACTAAAGACTTGAATTGCTAGGGCTAATGGTTAACGTCGTTGACTAGTCCTTTTCCTTTTAATAATGGAGACAATTTTTCACAAATCCTAAATGTGACAACTAATCAGGCCTAAACATGAGCAGGCATTTCGGTGTTTGTTTTTTAAAATAATGAGGTTTCTATCAGATTGCTATTATAATTTTAGTTATTGGAAAGATCGCTTTTTAAGACAGATCAACAGAACGTCTTATCCAATCTGTTTAATGTTCCATACGCTTGTCAGCCCTGGTACTTTGCAAATTATTTGTGCTACATGCTCAAGAAACCTGGTTCCCCTTTGGAAAATTCATTTCTGATGAGCTTAAATCACGTCTAAGTGACAACGATATGTGTTCAGACGATACTAAGCTAGCCACCTACACCAGGTGACCAAGTAAGTTTAGTTTTAAGTATTTCCCATCTCCGTCCTTCGTCCTTGTCGTAATTCATAATGACGTTACTTTAATCAGTGTAATTCCCGTTAAAAAACAAAACAGTCACG